CACAATATGCTTGTATTTTCTTTTCTAATAGATACATCTCTTTATATTAGCCCCAGAGCACAGTTAGGGCTCTGTACAGTTATCAGGCCAGGAAACACGATGAGCTCAGCTTTAATAAAGGAGCCCTTATACACAACGTGATTAAGGAGAATGACGGATGGTGGGTCAACATAAACACAGCAAAAGTTACCTTAAATTTTGTAGCTGTAATAATTAGTGTTATAAACACCATGTAATATGTATGATCGAAAAAGCATTTATTTTCCAGGTGGATAGGTGACCATGGTGGAAAGCTACAGCTCTACTTTCCATCCAACTATGTAGAGGAGGTGTCCAACAACTCCAAAGCAGAAGCTAAGATACTGGTAAAGACAAAGCTGAAATGCATATGTAGCATATATGATTATGTGCGATCTTTTAAGATAAGCAGACTAAATGTAACACATGTAATAACATGTGTCTTTGTTTATACTCAGGATAATGAAGATAATCCGCTGGGGGGGGTTGTGCAAAGGGATTGTTGAAATCTCCAAGTGTAATATACAAAAATGTAAGTTATTAAAATTCATGGAAGCAAAAATGGTATTGCTTTATTTTTATGACTTTAAATAATCATAATTCTAGATTATCCCTATTTTATATTCTGTTGCATTTTTTATGCTTTAGACATTTCACGAGTTGAAATGTATTTTTCTTGCAGTGAAAAGTGGTAAAAATGGGAAGGCTCATGTGTTGACGCTACAGGATAAGGACCATGACAACTTGCAGTTCGACCTTTCAGCTGATTCAGTGGAGGAGCTGTTTGAGTGGTACCAAGTGACTTGGGACATCACACAGAGAGAGATGAGCAAGCAGTACCACAGGGAGCAGGAGGTCATTATTGCAACACTAAAGATGCATTCATCATACATCATACATTCAATGCAGGAAATATTCAGTACACATCATCATCATATTGGCATTGAATGGTGTTAAATGGTTAAATGACAAATTGTTTGATGGTGTGATCAGATAAAACAGCAAGAGGTGGTGGAAAAGAAAGCTGAAGTCGCCATGGAGATGTCAGACCTGGTGGTGTACTGTCAGCCGCGCAGCAAAGAGAAAGACAGATTTGGTAAGGCATATAAGAACAGTGCATTGCTTATTTACAGATTAATGGATCAAGTTAACATTCCCTTAACAAAGTTTATGCTCCTCTCTCTATAGATTTTTACAGCTACAAAGAGGTCCGCTCCTTCGTTGAAAACAAAATACCAGGGAAAAGTCGAACCAAGAATTTCCTTCAGTACAACCGCAAAGCTCTTAGCAGAATCTACCCAAAAAGCCAGCGTATGGAGTCATCCAACTATGACCCTTACCCTCTGTGGGCTATAGGCTGTCACATGGTGGCCCTCAACTACCAGACTGCAGGTCTGCATAGCATAATTGTATTATGAGCGCTTTGAAATGCTTTGACAAGCCTGCACAGTGCATTACAAGTGTAAGGCATTATTATTATGACTATTATGACACTAAGTATGTATCCTAATAGAGTCACAGGAAGGGTTTAAATAAAGTCCTGTTATACTTAGTTGTGTTCATGTCATTCTTAGATGTGATGTCATAGTTTCATTAAAGGGCTGTGGCCAGTATAACTTTCACGTAGAGCTATAGGCCCAAAGTTTTAGAAAGAAGTAACCAAACAGAAAATTCACAAATAGTGAACACTGTCATTTTTGGTTGAGATTTGGTCCAGGAAGTTGCCATATTCATCCAATAGATTTAAGTGCTTTCAAATAATAGTTATGCCGAAATGTTTGAATAATGTGACCACACATAATGCTTGCTATGATGTAAAAGTATTTCACCATAGTTCAGAGAAGATTTGGCACTTTTTGTTTCACATTAACAAGCCCAGTAATTATAGATATATGTATATACATATAGCATGTATATATATATATATATATATATATATATATATATATATATATATATATATATATATATATATATATACATATATACATGCATAACATATACCTCTCTGCAGATAAATATACCCAGCTGAACAGTGCCCTCTTCAGTCTGAATGGACAGACTGGCTATGTGCTGCAGCCGGAAATAATGCGCTGTGACAGCTATGACCCACACCAGGAGAAAAGCAAAGTCCAGTACAACATTACTGTCAGGGTAAGTATTTAATTCATGTTCTATATTAAAAGAGAGAAAATACATGTTTTCCCTTTTGTTTACCTGTGAAGGTGATAGCAGCCAGACACCTGCCAAAGCCTGGACGCAGCATTGCCAGTCCTTTTGTAGAAATTGAGCTGTGTGGATACAATGAGGATCGATTCAAGACTGCTGTTTACCGTAAGAAAGCTTACCATATAAACCATAATATAAAGACAACATCAGCAAGTTCAGAAACATACCCAGAGTGGTGTTTTGTTGTGTTCATATTTAAGTAAGGTTTTTGTGTTAAACATGTGTGAATGAAATAAAACACAATTCTATTATTGATGAGGAAACAACATTATAACATAGATCAGAAAAGGGTAATAGGTTATATGGGCCCTTTAATGACCAAGGAGAACATCCTTTTGACATCATTAGTTGGGCCGCATAATATAATGCAATGGGGAAAAAAAATCACAATTTAATGTGGCATGATTATCCAGCAGCAAAGGAGGCAATAATAATAATGTCCTCAGCAAACAAAAAAATATATTTTCATGAGTGAAAATTTTGATGTGTAAAAATAAGTATTATTGTGTTTGCTTATATTTAACTCATCTCTGAAATTATAATGCTTCTGGATATGTTCAAAATGTGCAGGGTGAACTTCATTGAAAAAATAAAGCAAGCAAAGGTCTAATCATAATCTGACCTTTCAGAAACAATGTAGTTTCCTTTTTTCTACTGTTCTATTGTAATCATGCTCTTCTGTTGTTTAGCCTCTTCCAGGTTCTAATCTTCATAAACTGCTCTTGTGTGTCAGGTGACAATGGCCTAAACCCTGTGTGGCGAACCCCCGGAGAGTCTGCAGTGTTTTCAGTGTACGAACCAGAGCTCACTTTTCTGCGCTTTGTGGTTAACGAAGAGGACATGTTCTCAGACCCCAACTTCCTTGCACAGGCCACTTTTCCAGTCAAAGGCATTCGTACAGGTAAGAAGTCACTTAGAGAGGTACTTCCGCTATAAAGTCTTCACCACATTGTAATATGTTCACATGTCATTGCACAATGCAGGTTATCGCTCGGTCCCTTTGAAGAATGGCTTTAGTGAGAATGTGGAGTTGGCCTCTCTCTTGGTCCACATCGAGATTGAACAGGCTTCAGTAAGGACACACACAAAAAAAGAAAAAAAAAAAGACCAAAAAAAAAAAAAAAAGACCAGTGCATTTTAATACAATAGAAGAATAGGTGTGGCTTTTGATGTGCTCTTTTTGTAGCACTGTTTTAAAATTTCAGATTCATTTAGTGCAATAAAAATATTAAGCCAACCACCCTTGGTCATACTTTAGTTAGGACATAGTAACAAGTTTTTTTTTTTCAAATCAAATCTTTTTTTATAATAATTTCAGTGTTAGAAGTGGGAGATGTAACTTGGTGATGTTTCTTTGCAGAACCAGAAGGAGGAGCTGTACTCATCCTCCAGTCAGCTGAGGAAGAAACAGGCTGAGCTATGTGAACCTTTTCTGTACGACACACACTCAAATCTACAGCGCCAACTCAGCCGAGAGCCCAGCGAGAAGACACGAAGGCAAGTGTTACAACGGGGTCAAAGATGTGGTCAATGTCTTTATTGGGCAAAATGAATCCTAAATAATCCCAAAAAGAGTCTATATCAAGATTTAAGTTTTTTAGACCAACTCAGGGAACTAATTGACTAAATCAAGTCTAAACCTTAAAGATGCTCTGTGTAACTATTCTGACACCTGCTCGTCTCCGTGGAGATGTTATTGCTTTGTCTTGAATGCTTCACAGTATGGCTTTAAACTTATTTTTATGAGGACAACTATAAAGTGCCACAAGCCCGAATTACAGGTCAGGTCTGTGGAGATGAGAGCCCACTCAGTGTGTAATTTCATGTTTATCGAGATGTTGTTTTTTTTATAGCAAAAGGTAAAAAGATAAGTTTAAAGCCTACTGTGGAACATTCTAGGCAAAGCAATAATACCTCCATGGAGAAATTTACAGAGTTCACCTTTAGTGTTCCAAGTAAATTAAAAACACATTACATAAATGATGCATGAATTACATAAAGAATGTTTGTATCTAATTTATTACTCATACAAAACCACAATATAGATATTTGCAGGCTACTAACAAACTTGTTTGTGCTTTAGGACCAAGGAAAAAAAAGTCAACAACAGTAAGTTTTATTCTTGAGATCGTCCATCAACTGCCCCCAAAGCACAGCTGCAACTACCATACAACTATAAAAAAAAAAAAAAAAAACTGTGTGTGAACCATGTTAGAAAAACTGAAATGTAGGCTTGTAGTAAATTGTAAATATTTTATATACTATATAAAAATATTGTGTTTGACCATGAAATAAATCTAAAAATATAACACCTGGCGATGTGTTTAAAGTACTGTACTTAATGCACACTCTCACCATGTAATGTGAAACACACTTCTGTCAACTTTGGAAGATATTTGGAAATACACCTCTCCTCCTCCTTTATGACACAGACATGGGTAGTATGAAAAGGTGTTTTTTAAATATCTTGAAGTTAAGTTTAAAGTGAAATGTCAGTAGCAATTTGTGTAGATAACTGATTGATGGTAATATTCATAAAGGAGAATGAAACCACACATTTGTAGCATTACAATTTCATAACAATAAAAGGTACGAAGTACTGTTATTACTTCAATTAAGGTTGAGGTTCCAAGATACTGGCATGCAGTTGTGAGATTAGATGCATATTAAAGTTAGTAATGCTTTTTCTTAAATGATCTCTCCATGTATCCTGCCAAACACACATAGAAAAAACTCCACATGGCACACACATGAAACATATTCACAGACAATTTATTTCTGATTGAAATGATTTCACATCATAAGTTGTTATTTTCCTGTTGAAGATCTTTTGTATTTTTATTACAACAGCCACAGAGCAGCAGCAATAATAATAATAATAATAATAATAATAATAATATTAACAATTATTATGATAATCCAGCAGATGAAGCAGATCATTGCTGACACTGAAAAAAGAGAAAGAAAAAACTAAGGGCGCCCTCTAGCCAGCTGCCAAAAAGAGACAAGGGATTGTGGGTAATTTGAGTTTTCAGTAATTTCAGTTCATTCTGAATTGTTAAGACGTAAGCAATGCTTTACACCATTGGGACAGAAAGAATAAAAACCGTACGGCTGTTGAAGATTAAAAAATTAAAAGAAAGGATGTAAACTGAAGCAAAGCACAGTGAGTTCCACAGGTTACAGATGGGATGTCCCGCACACATTTTACAGTAATACAAAACCCTCGCCCCAAACGCTCACAGTTTAGACAAGTGGCACCTCTCTTCAATATGTGGCAGGAATCAGTAAATATCCAATGTCTCCAAATCATGATAAAAACTGAACAAAGTCAGTACAAAACTATTGGCTTAAAAAATATCTTTTAGCGTTGAGCTTCACAACAGCCAATCAGAGCGCACACAGCATCTAACCATGTCAACCTCAGGGAGATAGTGATCAGACCCTTTATCAGATTTACAAAATAAAATTACAACAGAAAATACAAGATGCAGGAACATGTACATGCAAACAACAGAAGTTAAACACAGAAAACAAACATATAAAATAACATAAATGATAATATGTTTTGAAAATAGATTACAGTGCACTTTGCATGAAAAAGTACAACAGCGTACAAGGAGAAGAAAAGAAGTCCAGATATTTTGAGAATCAATGTTTTACAAATATATAATTAGATATTAGCCAAGTGAGGTCATTGTAATTGATAGTAATAGTCTTAAGTCTCAGGGCTCTAATGCACCTTCACATCACTTGCCAATTGAAATAAAATGAGGAATGTGATCCAGCCAAGTTAGTGAAATATTAATGCCAGTCGTAAATGGGATGAGATGTGTCAGGGAGGGCATCTGGAACAATAGATATGTCAAATCATTGCTCAGGCAAACCAAGGCAGGGGATTAACTATCGTTACACCAGACACCTGAATTATAATGACATCATTATTAAAACTGTCATCAAATATGATCTGGATTTCTTTTTATGGCCTCATACGGTGTCGTAAGAAACAACCCTACACACAATGTTAGAAAGAAAGGCATCAGCAGCCTGTGTATAAAGACAGGCTTAGAGAAAGAGAGAAAAGGACAGAGAGAGAAAAAGAGAAAGAGGTGAGAGCAGATGACTATATACACTGTATATACATCATACAGGATATGAAAGAGCGCAGCAGCCAAACACAAACATCATGGCACCAATAAATAGAATGTCATCGTGGACGGCATTGTGCTCTGCTGCTTCAACCTTGAGGGAAAAACAATAAATACAAAGGTGATGGATGCAGTCAGAGCTTATAGTCCATTCACAAACCCATGTGGACAGGGACCACTAGTCAGTTAGGGCAGTTTGACAGGCATTGTTTTATATGGGAATGTAGACAAATGCGTTAGTCCCTTTTTAGCCTGTGGTAAAGTATATGTACAAAATCCATCTGTTGAAAGCCAGTCATTGATATTGGGGTATATGGGATCTAGAAGCATCTTACTGCCACATTGTTTCTGTGGGTCTTTCAAAGTTCCACTATTCATATTACAAACCATTGGCCCCAAGACACAACAGTAAAAAGTGGACAAAGATGTTTGGCAATTGTCATTTTCTGTCTTTTGTCCTACTGCGCAGTCTGGTATTCTGCAAATATAACAGAGGATATGAAAATATACAAACTCTCGGCTGGTGATGGGTCAGTAGACAGATCCAGTCATGGCATGGAGCAAAGAGATCCTTCTTGCTTGACTTTCTTTGTCAGAAATGTCACAAAAATCAAATTAGGAATAACCAAACCTGAACAAAACAAGGGTGTGCATTTAGCAAGTCAGAATGAAGAACGCGTTATATAAATTAAAACTGAGGCAGTCCCAGACCACCCCACTACTGCTACACAACCTATTAAATAGTGATGGGATTATACTATGTACACACAAAACAAGAAAAAACTAATTGTGTTGCCATCTTTTCCAGCTCCCAAAATGCCTCCAAAAGTCCTTGGATCCACTGACTATTGAAGCAAAATCTGGAAAAATATGAAGTTCATTCAAATGTATAGATTGACCGCTTCTTGTGTGGACCTTGTGTGTAGTTAGGCACAGTCTTGTAAAAGTTTTCCAAAATAAAAAACATAACAAAAAAACATCAGTTTGAACTGGAAAACTCAGGAGGAGCTATGGTTTTGAAGAGCTACTGAAGAACTGGAATGTGCTGTATCCAGACTTCATAGTACAAAGGCAAAAGAGTTGATGGTATTGTTCAAAGGTTTGACTCTGTGGGACGGAGTGGGGCAGCTCCAGGTGAGGAGGGACATCCAAAGTACAGATATGTCATAAAAATGAATTGATCTGTGGAGACTCCAGCTCTTTCCAGGACACTGTGGAAGGCCGGTCCCACGTGGATATCATTAATGGGGACATGTGTATATGTGTGTGGATTTGATAAGGTGAGCATGAGCAAAGGACATCACCAGGCCTCTGTGTACCGTACATCGACATCTTTCAGGTTGGGCAGTTTGGCCTGAAAAACACATGTGCAGTATATTTAGTAACAAATCTGCATTACATCTCACCAACAAACTTCATGTTTAATTTTCAGCTATATTCATTAATTAACAACTAAAACTGTGGACTTAATCAAACTGTAAGTGTGATGACATTCTTAGCTCTAATCAATTACCAAAATGCTCTGTCAAATTCTGTCACACTTGTCTAATCTATAATAACTTTAAATAACATGTATCACAACACATTTATGATAAAGTGTGTACGTCCTCTTTAGTTTAACCTTCGAGAGTGGTATTTTCAGTCATTTAAAGTGTGATGTTTTTGTCCATAATAATAATAATAATAATAATAATAATATTAATAATAATAAATAATTAAAAAGATTACATGAGTTGTCATCACAGTCCTACTCACTCCAAAGTGAATGTAAACTATTCAAATGACTCACCTTGAGGTCTTCATATGTGTCAGCTGTGAGCTTGGTGCTGTTCATGTTCAAGCTGCACAAACTTTTCATTGCTGAAACATAAAACCATCCGATTTAATCAAATGAGCTGCTATACATAATAATAATAATAATAATAATAATAATAATGTTTCCTTACAGCTGAGTGACAGTAGACCAGCATCAGTGACTGGGGTCTCACACAGGTTTAACACTTGGAGACAGGCCAGGTGCTCCGACAACAACCGCAGCCCTGCATCTCCAAACTGCAATGCAAAATAATACAGACGGTGTTTTATCCTAACAGTCAATGACTTAAAATGGCCTAGAGTGCAGCTGACCAGGTAAGGGGACAACCCTAAAAATTAAATTAAATGAAATAAAACTTGTGTTTACCTGAAACAACATCTGTCTATATGATATGAATGCTTTGTGCCAAGGCAACATCCAACAATATTTAATAGGATTAGATTATATTGAATAATAACTAATTTCAAATTCACCAACACAGACTTGCATAGTTGCGAGCTGTCATTTTATCATTCAGTCTGAACTCATTGTTAATATGTTTCGATTTCTTTAATGGTTGGTCTATTTCTGTACCACAAAATTGATCACTAAATGTGGACTTTATAATCATGCTCAGGGAACTGTTTTTACAGTTTCGTACCTGAGTGGACCACAGGTTGAGCTGTTTAAGTGAGGGCAGCTTGATGAGCTGCTCGGCACAGGCACTGGTGACGTTGGTGAAGGCCAGACTCAAGTTTTCCAAGTTCCCAAAGGATCCTGAACTCAACAGACGAGCCAGGTCAGCATCCTAAAAACAAAACACAAGAATATATAAGTGTTTGAACTATAGTATTAATAGTATATAATTATGAATGTATATTATATGTGTCTTTACTGTGGACTTGGAGGGCAGAGTGAGGCGGGTGGGGCCTCCTTTTCTTTGCTGAGGAAAAAAAAGAAAAGCATTGTATCTGAGAAGAGAGCCTTGTTGTAGCTTTTGCAGACAGTAGGTGGCATAAGTGAGCAACAAATAACATAATGCTTTTATTATGGTGTGAAAAGGGAAAGTTTGTGGTTCTCCTTTGTAATGTGATGCAACCCTTTTATGACGTAAGAGAGCTGTTTTTGTTTATATATCCATATGTGAGTTTAAAAAGGCACAGCTGAAAAGTACATTTTGGAATAATTGATGCAATTCTTTAGTAATATTTTAGCTCTGGTTAAAATCTTCTCTTATCAGAATGCTTTGTGAGGATTTCTGTGCTTCGAGTTCAGTACATGTAAGTGAAGCCTGCTGATTTCTTATCGACTCTTGTCTTTACGTATCTTTTATAAATGATGTCCTCTGTTTAATCTCTATGAACAGCCCTGATATCAATGCCACAGCTCTTTGTCATCTGTTATCTTGTCTGGATACAAAGTGAACATAATGACCAAACACTGACAAAAGGACACATCGGTTGATCTCAAAACCACCAGCTCTACAACAAACAGCTGAGAGTTTTATGTCCATAAAATGTGTATACTGTAATACTCTATTATATATTTGAAAGTACCAGTAACTAACCAGTTCCTTGAGCTCCCTCTGCCGGTCACAGAGCTGCTCGTACATGCGCAGGCCGACCTGAGTGCTCTCCAGAGTGGAGATGATCTGCAGCTGAGTGTCCTTGTTCTCTATGATGTTGTACTCTAGCATCAGGCACAGGATCTGCACACCACAACATGGGCAGGAAGGTTACAACTATGGTACATTCAAGTACATTTACACATATCAAAATATCAAAGTTTAGCCTGTGGCTGCAGACAGGATAGGACTTTAACTTATTTATCCATAAGTTAATTGAAAATGTAGTCAGTCAGTCAATGTCAGTTGTTGAATCCAAACGATGGCTGATACAACATGGTTATTGGATTATTTCAGTAATTTTAATTTAGTGCAAATTCCAGGCCTACCTCCACCATAGTCTGGTTCCCTCTGAGGGCCAGCAGCATACAGGGCCCCAGCTTGTTCTCTGCCAGAGAAAGAAGGAACTTCTTGGTCTTGTAGCAGGAGCCCATGAGGATATGGACCTGAGGATGTGAGGAGCTAAACTTAGTCCTGGGAATAACATTATTCACATATACAGTACACCCGGTCTACATCATGAAGTGTACGCACCATACTGGCAAACAGCTCTCCATCGTCGTCACAGGCCACGCCCCCAGGACTGTAAAGCTGGAACCAACCGTCCTTACCCGAACGTACGCTCAGCAGGCACGAGTGAACCTATGACCACAAAACATTAGAATAATCTATATACTGAAATTAATGGAGGATGTGTGTTATGCTTTTAAGATTAAGATAAAACTAAAAATTACAATAATGATGCTCACCTCTTGTCGAGGGTCTTCTGCAAACCTCTGGATCACATATTTCAGCTCCCTGTTCAGACACACATTTAGTTTGGTATAAAAAGAAGTAAAAGGCTGAAAAGTATTTAGCATTGATATGCGAGGGAGAACTTACTTTGTGAATTTGGCATGTGCAAGAGCCCTAGAGGGAGAAAACAAAACACATCAGTATCACACATTTGAGTCTCTAGAAAATGTATTATTTACTTCAGTGGTTCATATCCAAAAATAATGATATGTAATACGTAGAAAATATTTCAGTATAGTATTGTATTGTTTATAGTATATTCGATAGTATTGTTTTAATTTATCAACATTTGTTTGCTTTACAGAGGTGACAAGTTACAAAGACAAACACAGACTTGAAATTACAGTATATGCTCTCTCTTGTTTGCCAAGTTGTTTTTGAATTTGTACGTGTTAATGAAGCATGTCAGGGAGTTCCCTTTAGCCCACAGTTGACTGACGACACAAAACAACAGAATTAGCTTCAGAGTTTCAGAGGAACAGCTTCACTCATTGTGACTAATGCAAAGTAAAGTTCTGCTGTTTGTTACTGGAGAAACTGTAATGATCCCTCAGCGGAAGATGTCAAAGTGGAGTGGCTAAAAAAAAAAAACTTGCTTCAAAAACAAAGAGAGACCTCTAAAAAATTAAAATAACAAAATAAAATCATTATCTGTGGCACCTCTCAGTCTACATCAATTAATTAAGATAACTGAAGTATTCGCATAACTGGCTGAGCGTGATGCAAGTCAATTTTACAGGTGTAACTGGTTTAGAGCGCACTGTGAATTATAAGCAATAACATCAACTATTTAACTACTCAAAATAAAACATGACTGCTATCCTTTACACAATAGAATGTCACAGGACAATAATCCTTTTGACAGTACTGCATACCACCAAAAACTCTGGTTTAGTTACCACGTTGTAACCAAATAAGGAATAACTGGATTAAAGATAAACAAATTCCCATTAATGGAGTATTTTTCCTTGATCTATTAACTTGAACATTTTGGCAAATCAACTTATTGCATATTTCGATAATACTTAGTAATGTAATGTGATGATGAAACTTGATCTGTGTGCGTGTGTGTGTGTGTGTGTGTGTGCACACATGTGTTTGTGTTAGCTGTTGTGTGAAGTGACTCATTGAGGTCCTGGGGAGTATTGTTGCCGTTCATAATGACGCCCAAAGGCAGCGACCCGGCAACAGTAGCGCAGGTGAGCAGCAGGTGAGTGCCAGGACAACAACTCAGCCTGCAGTCGCTGCTAACGAAGTCCAGCCCGCACCAGACAGACAATTAGAAGCAGTGCTATGGGCCGTTTGTAGCCAATTACAGTGCTTCCTCTGGAGAGAGTGGCCCTGGAGGACATGCCCCCCATCCCCTCCTGTGGGATGTGGTACTGTTCCTTATTCACGTCAGTATGGGACCCCGAGACCCACCCCTGCCTCACACTCAAACTGCGATGAGCTAAGGCAGTATACACTTTCTATAGGACTGTTATTAGTGTCAATAATTGAGATAATAACTATTTATAAATGACAGTGAAGTAATGCTATTGTATTAATGAGTCTAAAGAGATTTGTTTCTCTGACATCTTGCACAATCTGGTAAGGCATCTAACTATGGTTAATATGCATATCACTGCATTAGGGCTGCACATAGGCCTGTCATCAATTACTATATCAGCTTATCATTCAACATATAACAGTTGGAGATTTTGAAATTTTTTTGTAATAACATAAGATTTGAGTTGTAGAGGGTAGAATAAACAACTTCTATGGGTAATTATTGGTCATTCTGCTATTTATTTGTAGCAGCTCAGGCTTTACAGTGATACAGTATATTTAAAAAATGGTTTACTGAGATTATTCTAGTTTTTGTCTATGGCATAAAGTAGGTTCAATATTATAGTTTATCATTATGTTTCTCTGTAGCAATATATCTCAAAATGTGTTACTGTGACAGGGCTAGCTGCACAACATATGGCAATCAAATTAAAATCACAAATTTGGGGCAACTCTCATCATTATTTAGATAATACAATGTCTTCTGCAAAGAAGCCAAAATATCCTGTCTTTTTATAGAAAAATCTTCTTTTCCCTGTACTGAAATTGATATGCTTGTGATTATTAGTTTATAATTTTCAGTCTTCTCTTCGGTGTTGATGCTCCAGGAGTTGTTTAAAATGTGCATATATAACAAATCTAATAGCAATCTTAGACTTAGACAAACGCTGACAACACAAGGAAAAAAATATGCAATTGCTAAACCAGATCAAGCAATGGCCTAAACATTTAATTGAAACCTAAATTATAAAGGTACTAATGGAATACAACAAGCACTAAGATTAAGATAGAGAATTGCATTGCTAAAGACCTCTGATCACCACTGGAAGAATCCCATTATATTTTGAGAACCACTAAATGTGAGGCAGCTTTGTATGTGGCTTACTTTATCCATTTGTACACACGACTGTAGTAACAAAAGCCCTTACAAACTCTACTATAACAATATTTGCAAATATGCCTTACTCTTTAGGAAAGGGGATGGGCTGCAGCAGGCTTGCCAGAGCTGGTCTCCAGTCATCATAGTCGGATCTGAAAGACACATACATCTAGAGTCAAGCAAACAGTGTAAATAGAGGGAGTGCCCACAACAAAAACATACAATTGTACGTGAAACAAAGGCAGGCCTGGGTGGATGGTGGCATTAGGCGTAGAAGTAACAAGTATCATCACATTACTGCTGTTACTTACTGAGTTAAAGGTGCATTCTGTAACTTTTCTGGAAGAGGGTACATCAAAAGCTTTTCTTTACGGAGATGTTATTGCTTTGTCTGGAATGTTTCACAGTGTGGTATTAAACCTTTCTATCTTTATCAAGACCAAACCAGACCAAGTACTGGATCAGATTTTTGAGATATAAAACCACCTGTAATTGAATAAATGTAGGGCAGAGCTGTTTAATGTCATACTGTGGAACATTCCAGGAAGAGGAATGACATATCCATAGAAAAAAGCAGGTGGCAGACCCTCCACCAGAAAGTTGCATAGTGCACCTTTAAGTAACAGTGACTTTTACAAACTCTACATGTCTTGGTGCTTTTTAGGCCAGTCTGGTGGTTACCTACACCACCACATAACTGGTGCTCCAGTTTCACATTCATTCATTCAGGCCTCTTTAACCTATTTAGACTTATCCACACTCTTCATTTGTTGTGGTGATATAAGTCTAACGTCAAAGCAAGACTAAAATGTAGATGCATAAGCTACAAAAGGTTATGACAAATAGCAGTGGCCTTTCTTAAATGTGCATAAGGAGGTCAATGTAAAAATATCTATTCATATAACATGCAATTTAACTGTTGCTAAGGCTGAATGAATCGTTTCATTGAAAGTCTTGACAGAACAATGATATGAACACACATAAATCTCAGCTGTGTTTCATGTTTTGTACAATTTAGTTTTAAGCCATTCTCTGTAATTTACATGTCGGTCAGAATATGTTTCAATCATCAGTGTTTTGTCTTGTTGTGGTTGTGCGCTTACAGCATTTTGAGGATGAGGGCGAAGCATCCGAGCACACGGTCAGCCTGAGCGGGGAGCTGGATGGACAGGGTGTTGACGGCGGGGCTAACTAGGAGGCAGTCAATCAGGTTGGGCTCACTGTCACCCCCCGATGGACCCACCTTCCTCTTGGCATTGGTGTTGTTGTTGTTGCGCTCCAGTTCCACCAGGATCTCACTGGAGTTGACCACAGAAGGAGGAGGGGAAAGTGGCAGTGAGGTGGGGGGAGGTGTGGGAGATATGGGGATGGATGGGACAGGACTGGGTGTGCCATTCTGTCCGATCTGTGGAGGGCTGCCCGACAGAGGAGGCGGTGTGGGGGGCTCGGCCCGTAGCAGGCGCAGGGGCATCGGGGGCTTCCTCTCGTTCTGCTGCTGACACCCATTACGGATCTCCTTCAGGCTGGGTGAGTTGTCTCGACTACAGAGGGGACACAAATGTGGACAGAGCAGTTAAATACTGGGAAAAAACACAATATAATTACTGTAGAATTATTTTAAAATACAAATCAGATTTTGCATAAATGTGAGATTTTGTAAAATCATACAAAAAATATATATGTCACATCTACTTAAAATATAAATAAATAAATATAAATAAATATATATGTCACATCTACTTAAAATATAAATTAATAAATATAAATAAATATATATGTCACATCTAATAACTTATAGCACTATACTGAAAATAGCACAACTGGGACAGAGTGGTGCGTTCAGGGGCCAAAGATGAGGGAGCCACAGCAACCACTGTTAGTGTCAGGAGGATTTGGAAAATTCACAGAACAAGTGTTTCTCTAGAGTATCACATTACCAGGAAATAAGTCTAATGAGTTTCAACATAGTGCCATACATGTCACTTTTAGTGACCTCAAATGGGCAAAGTAAAGATCATGTCTCATAACTGTTATGTTACAACTGTATTCCATCATTAAGTTGAATTTGTATTTGTAGTTGTATTTATTTAGATTGATTCATTCATTGCGTACAAAATATTGAATTGTAAGGCATTCAAGGCTTAAGAGCTCATAACATTTCAAATTTCAGCTCTCTGCTATGGACTTACTAGTGATTGCACATAAGATAAAAAATGTTATGTAGTCATTTCTCTACAATAAAACCTTGCTTGCTACAGCGAAATACTAATATGAAGAGGCAGACAGTTCTGCAGTTTTGAACAGTCAAGTCAGTCAGTGGATCTGTTTCTACTATTAAGACATTTTAGATAAATATTGTGATTTATAAGTAAAATACACATTAATAATAAGTACAACAAAAAACATGTCTTCCTTAAAGTTACCATTTTTAAATGTAATAAATGTTAACCGAAAGAATAAAGTAATAATTACATTTTCATAGTTAATTATCTCAGCACCTGATACACAACTAAACATGAAGCATTTGAAAGAGCTGAGGCCTGACTTACATTAAATGCTACATGCTATTATTAGCCTGACCTGTTGATGAACTCCTCATAACAGGAGTAGATCGCAGCGAGACACACAGCCACCAGGTTTGGCAGAACGCGAGGGTGAGGGCATTGTCCCGTTGGCCCATGCATACTGAAAAACAAGTGAAATATTGTTTAGAAATCAGCCCTGAATCCAACCACACATCACCTACATCAAAATACTGCTTTATATTACCTGTGGACAAACTTTTTGACTACCTCCATCCCAGCATTGAGCTCATTCAAAGCCAGAATATACTCCTGAGTGAAAAGGCGCAGGCGAGGACACTTCCCAAAATCCTATCCAGACAAAAAACAAAAAAGTTTAAATCATAAAATGGTGGATTTGATTCAGCTTGATTCATGCTTGTAATAACTAGAAAGCTGAAGTTCCTAAACAACATACAGATACAAATTAATTAAATGTTATGACAATGTTGTGTGAATGACTTTCATGCAGCTTACTAACTTTTATTGTTATATTTCCATTGTATTCTCTGTATGTCTGTTGCTGGTATCTTTACACCTTGCCCACGGCACGTTCATAGAAATGAAAGGTCCCATATTACACAAAATGGATTCTTGTGAGCTTTTAGCCATGCTAGAATGTTGTCACCTCATGAAAAAACACCTGGAGTTGTGTTTTGTTTCATTCACACATGTTTTGAGTAATCTTAGATTGTTTGGCTTTCTACATCTCCAAAGCTCAAAATGCTCTGGTCCACCTTGTGATGTCATGAAATGGTAATTTTCAAGTTAGCAGCTATCATTTACTTTTAGTTCAGTAGAGATTAAAAATTCCAGGTCTGAAATCACCAAAATAATACTAGTGAAGGTGTATTGAGTACACTTTCACTAGAAACACTGGGGCACTTCCTGTATTACCACATGACATCACAAGGTGGAACAGCACATTTTGAGCTTTGGAGAGTGTTTTCTATTTGAACACCATCTAAATAAGCAGAATTTGTGTGTTCAACAATGAAACTCAAACAATGAAACAAAACACAACTCCAAGAATGTTTGTGTTGAGGAAACAGAATTATATCATAGATCAAAAATAGAATAATATGACACTGTTCTTATTCAAATAAACAAAAAAATAAATATTCAGTTCAGTCATTGGGAATTAGCTTTTTTTTTAGCAGTTTACATATTACATATAAATAATGATAGAAAAAACAATATAAATTTATGAAATCTCACCATGTTATGCTTAAGGATTCTCTGGACCACAGGAGTGAACACTTCTATTACCACCATAGAACGCGGCCGCTCTCGACAGTGCTGCAACACAACATACAACACAGAGTAAGACCTAAAAGTCTATCGGTCCCTTGTTTCTATGGCCATGTCATTGCTCTGCCTGGAATGTTGCACAGTTTAACATTAAACAGCTCCACTTTCCATTTACTCTGTTATAGGTGTTTCTATAGCTACAAAATTCCTCAAAAAAACAGGCATTCTGACTGTGAGCAGGGTTGCCTCTCCACAGATCTGATCCATAATTTGGTCTGGTTTGGTCTCCATAAAATTAGAAACGTTTAATGCCATTCTGCGAAACATTTCAGACAAAGCAATAACATCTCCATGGACAAAAGCATTTGACGGACCCTCCACCAGAAGAGTTACAAAATGCACTATTACTTGAAGTGAACTCTGCAGTATGGACTCACCTTACAGAAGAACTCACAGAGGTCAGGAGGTGGGTGGTTGTTCTCCAGAAGAGGAGCAATGGCCTAAGAAAACCAAAAAACTAAATCGGATCTCGTAAATCTCTTTCTTTTTTGTCTATGATTTGATTCTTTTTGATTATTTGTTCCTTTTTAATCAATTTTAGATACTGCAATATCAAAGAAGATATTACAGAGCATATTATCACAGTATTATATAATAATGTTAATGCAGAACAGATTGAATAATTTACTTACAACAATAATGTTTTCATGATCCTGAGTGCTGAGATTGGAGTTCTGTGGGGAAAAGGAAAGAATTAGGCTACTTAGTATTGACAACCTTTTCAATCAAATCTACATGTAATTGCTTAGAAATTTGAAGTAAATCTGAAGTAATCTGACAGTAGTAATAACTAAGTATTATTTAGTAGCTGACAAGTCAAGTGATTATTTGAGATTTTACATTCAAATACATTTTTAACCACATAAAGGCTGAAATAAAGTGAAATAAAGTAAAGTGTATTAATGATAAAAATCAGAAACAGTTCATGACTTCTTTTAAATTCAATAATCCCACTGTGTGTGTTATAAAAAGGTATTTTATTTATTTCATTCACTTCTGTATAATACTATAAAAAATGTGAATTAGTAATAATACGCTTTCTCCCTGTAATATTACAGTCCCTCAAGTAAATGTGAAGTGCACTGCAATACCTCGGCCAGCAGGGTGGAGATGATGTGCAAAGGGGCTTGATGAATGGACTCATCCTGAAGCGGAGAAGTCAGAGCCATATCCACAAGCGCCCGGATCTCCTTCAGAACCACGTCCCAGCGGCTCGGGTTGGTCAAAACCTTACGGTACTTATAAATCTTTTTCTACATCAAACACGAGAAGGACAGTGTCACTAAAATCAGGTATGGATTGGAAATGGCTGATTCTAAAATGTAAATTAATGATTTATTTCCAAAAATAAAATTACAAACTAGTCTACTTCCTCACAAAAGCTCATAATATTACAAGGTGTATTTTAAATAATAGAAAACACAAACAATTACATGCAAAAACAAAATAACATACATAAAAATAAATGCATACAAAAATAATTCACATAAAATTGGCCCTATGAGAAAATCAGTAAATTCAAGAGATTCTTACCTTCCACTGCAAAGAGTGAAACCACTGGTCTCTTAGGTAACTGTTTGCAGCCTATGAAATCACAATGAAAACCAGTTAGCGTAAAGCATGAATATCTAGGTGAGAGAGAAAAAACATGCAGGACATGCTTTAATCATGTTCCTGTGCTTATATGGTGTAGCCATACACCAACTCACTGCAATTAACCTATTACAGTAAAGTGTGAACTCTGACAAGAAACAAAAAGCTTTCATTATAAAGGTATTCAATCATCATAGATGGTCACTAATAAAACATTCTGTATACAAATGTTTCAGCCAACCCAGTACAGTATAATGGGGAGATATGCTGGAGAGACGTCACTGTGGCTCTGCTCTGAACTTAAATGTCCAGCTGTTGCTTTTGTGACTATTACAGAAAAGAGACTGATAACAATATATTATAGTATGCTTATTTTGTGCTACTAAACCTACTAAATTCAATTGCAATGAGAAAAACAAAACAAAAATGTGTAAACTATAAGAATTTTGGTATGTCTCTTTAACATGCACACCATTTAAAGCAGTAGAAAAACGCTGACAGGAAGTGGTCAGGACTAAACCTCAGCTACTCCTGGAGGCAAATAATCTCACAATGTTACGGTAAAAGGTTTCTTACTTTTCTAACTTTAGTTCAGCCACTTCATGGGACAATAGCCCTGTTTCGGTACTAAGAACAGAAATGACACAGAAGTCCGTAAGAGCGTATTCTATATTTACTTGGAAATATTTTTGGATTAAGTTTTAACTTAACAAGTTTTATTATTGAGGATGTAGGCCTACATACAGTGTCAACATAACAACAGCTATTAACTGTTATCCCACTACCAAATATAGTCAGATATATTTTATATTTACTGTATTTTATTACACAAATCAATATATTTTGTCTTTTGTTAATCTTTTAGTTTAATTATGTTAATTTGAATAGTATTACCATCAATTCTTTGGCCTTTGTTATAAAATTGTAAAGTGTGGGCTATTGTTTCAAAATAATTCCCCTTGTGAATCAATAAAGTTTGTCTAAGTTAAAGTCTTAAATGGTTCTACTTATGAGTGACTTAATAATGCACTTTTGTTAGGTGAATGGCTGCATCTTAGAGATACATCTGTTCTTTGTTCATAGCAGCATGGCATAGCTCAGTCTGTGTAGGCTGAAGCGTGCTAACTGTCTAGCCTGTGTGGTGTGGGCCCATGTGTACAAGAGAAACAGTGCAGGTTATAGCGTGCTCAGAGGCACACTGTGTTCTGCCCCGGCTCGTCCTGTCCTGATCAAGTGGACACGCTTTTCTGACGCACCATCCTGTCAGGGTTTAACTTCTGTGCTGTCTCTTGAGAAAAATATAATTTGTTCTTATTTTAGCTGTTTATTATTGAAATGCCTTGGACGAATAGTCTGTGCTTTTAGGTCAGTTGTTACAAAGTACTCGCAGTTTGAGTGTTGAGTAAAACTGTGCTCACCTGTAGAAGGACAGTTCCTCCAGGAAAACTGAGCTGGACACAGTATTTGGGAGCATTGTCCCAGGCCAGTAGCTGCAGGTCCTCTATGGAGCTGTAGGACAGGGACGTCTCCATGTAACCAGTGGGCTGAAGGCACAAGACACAGTGGATTACAACAGGGTTTCACATATTCACACACATTTTGAAAACAACCTCTAAATTTCTATAGCAATGTTTCTCAAACTATAGTACATATACCACTGATAGTACATGGGTGCCTCAGGTGGTACATGAGACCCTCTACATTTTGAGTATTTGTTGGACAAATCTAAAGTTTTTCCTCTGGGTTAATCATTATTTAGAATCTATGTTTGTGCTTTAGTCATTTTAGACCTGTTTTAGTCTCATTCTAGCTGTGGTTAAGCTTTAATTTAAGACTGATAAAGTCTGAGTTTAAATCTGGCAGTTGCCTTGCAAGCCCAGAATGACACCTCTGAGGCGATGAATCTGGAGGAAAATATGGCGCTACTCAGAAAGCCAAATACTATCTTAGATGGTACTTGGTTTGAAATGTTTGAGGACCACTGAGCTAGAATTTAGTTTTACATTTTAGATCCAGATTTTGTAATCCTTATTAGGTCATGCTGTGTTACTACTGAAAACATTCAAACATCATATTCCAGCAACAATACAAAGTAGTTTTTGAAGAAAAAACAGCACATTTTTGCAATAAGTTTATCACGAGTCACAGGGTGCACCCGGATGTCGACTCATCATGAGCTTAGACAGGCAAGTGATGTCAGTGAACAGAAGAGAAACAAGAGACAAAGGGTCGCTAAGTGCTTGGATGCCTTATGATACAGGTTTTGTTGAGAATGAAAAATGATGACCAATCATTAATTGCATGCATGATTTTCACTGGTTTGATTTAAAAAATATTAGGCCATTCTACAATGAAAGAGGTACAGGATGCATACTTAAACAGTCCTTATGTCTATTTAAAAACATGCACTGTACAGCTCCACAACTGAGACCATGAAACCTTTGACAGACCATTGCAACAAGTTAGAAATGAGATGGATGAAACTAATGATTTTCCCACAGTAAGTATAATGTAAGTATTGATGTAACTGCATGCATTTCTCACTGGACAGGAAGTATGTGCACAACATAGATTGTATCAGCTGTTTTCTATAACAGTCAATACGCACTTACTTTCTGAACAGAAAAATCAAACTGTGGTAACTGAAGGTGGAGGTCCAGGCCATCACATCCTGGGTTCAAATGAGGTTATCGGAAGACAAATATAGAGCCATTCCACTCTTGCTCACACTATTGTTGGCTAAATGTAACAGTGGCAGTATTAAGACAACAGCTGGGACACTGAGACATTCCCCATTGGGATAGCACTGTAGCCTCTTCACAGGTTCAGCCCAAGCAAAATGTAAACAAGCAAGACAACATCGACATAAAAAGTTGGCTGCCATATTGCACAGGAGGCTAATTCTGAATAACACAGAGAAGAGGAAGTTTTGCAAACTAAGCTTCCTTAATCAAAACCACATCCACAAAATGTGCAAAACTTTTTTCTCTGTCACTGGAGACAATTAATTGTGTAACATTTTGCATGTACTTGATGAGAATGGGGGTCAACATGATTTTCAATATGTCTTTCCATACTACAATGATAATACAATACACTTATTATTTTTCAACATAAAATAAATGTAATAGCGTGTGGTCTCAGACAATTTCGATAAGGTCCAATTTAGTCACTTTAATGTGATTTTTAATTTTTTTTTTTTACTTTATTATTTTGGTCTTGATATATGTTCAAATAAGAACAAAATTTTGTAACACAAATTAGGTCATGCTGTGCCAACATCTGACTTTACCAATTCAACATACTCTGGGAACATTATTTGTTATATACAGATTATTTGCTCAACACACAATAGTTTTATACTAGTGTTACTAGTGATTCATAACTTGTTTGGTTAAATTATTTTGGACAACTCTAGTACTATGACAAAAACATAATTTCTGAACCTGTGTGAACTGTGATATTGCACTGAGGTCAAGACCTTAAATGCAATGATTTTGTTAAGAAAGGCAATCTGACACAACCTTCTTAGTAAAATACAAACACAATGCATTAACAGTTGAATTTCAGAGGTGTTTTTCTTACAACCTCTCCAGGACTATTGGTATTACAGCTTCACATTTAGGGGACACTGCACACTCAAATTAAGCTACACACTATGGTCTGTAATGTTAGAGGAGGAGGTCTGCCTGCTGTACTGCCCTTGTGTTTGGACTGGAGTGAGGCAGAACATGACGGAGACAAACATACGGCTCGGGCTTGTGTGATGAGCAGCGCCGTCGCCATGGAAACCCCTCCTCCTGCCTCCAGCTCGGTGTGTCTATGTGCTTCTCTGTGTGTTTGCTGCTGCAGGAGGCTGAAGGAGCTCGTCTCCTCTCCTCATCGCTCTGTCGCCATGGAAACAGGGCAGCCGAGATGTACATTATGTTTTGTTGTGTGCGGGCTGCTTTTTGTTTCCAGGGAGCGAACAAAAACCAAAGGGCAAAAAGAAAAAAGAAAACTGAGAATCCCACAGGCTGCTACAATGTGACTAATAATCGCATGATTGATGTATACAACAAATAAAATGAATAATTCTGATTCAGTTGTTGACTGATATGTGATCGCATGCATATAACAATTGAAAATACATGCTGTCATTAAATTATTGCCCGCATGATGCCACGTAAACAGAAGTTACAGCCATCACTAATTGTTAAGATTTTAGTTTGAAGGGCAGAGGTTTGCCTTACAAAGAAAAAGCTCTGTTGACATTATATTGTGTTTGGGCAACATTCATTTTCCTAGACTCCCATCACAAGAGATGCCAAATTAACCATATTTTAAAAACATACCATTGTTTATGTGCACCACCTGGATAAACAAGACTATGGCTTCCTGATCCTGAAAACTGATCAGCTCTAAACCACATCTTTAAACTGTCCATACTTTTCAGTCTGCCAACTAATAATTGGATGAATTTTACCAACATTCACAAGTACGTACAAGTTTGATGTTATGCATTGTTATTTGGTGATGTCAGTCTAGTACTAATAAATAATGGACATCAAACATGCAAAAAACTGTACAGTTACAGAAATGCAAAGTGTTAATCATACATAATCATACATATTTATCTGGTGTCTGGACCAGTCAAAATCACAAAGCCAAAGCAGCAGATCATTTAAAATATGCTATTATTGACTGCAATGGCGCCCTAAAAAGAAAGGCCAAAGAGTATTCTGCAGAAATACTGAGAAACATGGAGAAGAGAGGAAGTCACGTCACATATGACATTCATTGTGAGACGAAACACAATCTCGATATGTAATTTATTTGATTTATAATTTATAATAAATAGATGGTGTGATTCATTTCTCTTCACTATTTTAACCTAACTTTTAATTTGATTTATTTAACATTTTGCTGTCATTGTAGCACTATTTTTAGGACCCTTTTTAACCCTTTGTAAATGCAGGGGGGAAAAAATCTCACAATACAATTATTTACACATGCGCACAATGTTGTGGCATGACATCTTACCCCATTCCTACTATATAATCTCTATTGGAAACAAATACTACAAAAACTGCAGACCAACAGCAGTGTTCCTGAGTGCATCCATGTGTACGGTACTCAAAGCCTCCATAAGGATAGCCCTATAGCCCCAGTGACCCGTAGCCCTGAACCCACTTGTACTGGCGATAATGAGCAGAGCAGAGTCCTTTATGGGCCTCTTTTGTGAGAGGTGCAGCTCAGGAAGTTCTGCTTGTCCTCGGAGTTCTCTCTTACGTAAATATGATGTAGGTTTGAGTGTGTCTGACATGAGAGGGACCTGAGCCACTCAAAGGAGAGGCTACACTTATCTTTGTGTATAACCCAATAGCCAAAAAGACGTAGGTTCAATTCAAGGTCAGATAGTTGTTCTAAGCAGATACTGTAGCATTAACAAAACTTTAATTCCATTAACAAATAAAACCCAAGTAATATTTGTATGGTTTTCTTTTAATTCTACATACTTATGACAATGACACTGAATTCTCAGAAGTTCAGTATGTTCCAGTTACACATGCTTTATTTTAGTTCAGCAATTCTTTATCAAATAGAGAACTAAATGATGGCGACTAAGAACTTCCTTTCGTAAGTATGCATTCCCTACACATCATACTGTAATACGATCCTTTTATAGGCAGTCGAAATAAATCCCTTACTTTTTGCTGACAAGATGAGCTAGTATCTGTTTTTCATTAAGATGCTCATTCATGGGCCTATCCTTTTTAAAATATGCCTATAGAGAAAAGTTACAAAATGTACATTACACCTGCCAAATCCGATACTGCAGTTAAGACTCCATATCATAAATCCTAAATATTGCACGTTTACATATAAGTGCGCAAGTAATTTTAATAAGCAGTTTGTTTTGTATCTAAAGACTGTGCTTTATGTAGTTGCATTTGAATGTAATGTTAAGTGCAGAACAGGTGAAAAGACATCAGCAGTGGTAGTATGAGTCTGTGTGTTTTGACTGTTGACTGACCAAGTTCATCTGTTCTCCACTAACATGATCAATACAGAGCGCTCACACCTCCAACAACCAGGAAACAGCTACAACGTTCAACCATACTCTAGTGTTTTTAACCTTTTAACAAGGTTTTTTTCTCCATTGTAGTCATGTGTTTATTTTATGCCTTACAAATGAAACTGTGGCAGTGGACATGAAATCTGTAGAACTTCACCCTCTTTGCAAACCAATGTTCTTCTCTGACTGTGGAATTGGAGGCAGAGGAGCAGATTAACCATACTTCCCCCAGAGCAGCTGTGGTTACATTGCTATCATTAAGTGTGACTGAAATAATGCATAACATCTAGGGTGCAAAGAATAATGCAATACTATTACATGTCATATTTGCAGTTGTAGTCTAGTAGTAGCACATGGAGCAGTACTTGAAGGGCTGAAAGTGTCCTTACTTCTTACTTTAATAAAACCTGTGCTGTGAGGACAAACAGTCATTTACATAATTGTTCTGTGTAGCACATAAAATCTTCAGTGTGGCCCATCCACATATTCTCCACATATAGTGAGTATATAATACTCCACATAAAGAGGAATATGACAGACTGGACAGAGCATGTTTTGTACAATGTCAGCAGTAAAACACAGCCATAATGTGTGCCAACAAACAGGAACTACAGGCTCATATTCAGCCATCAGGTATTTTTATGATGATCACTGTGCTCACAACACACTCCTAACACATGACATATGGTAAGGAAGCTGTACAAGACAGTCAATGCATGAAAACAGAGTTAAAGATACCAGACGGGTATTTGTAAGACTACAAAAGGAACCTGATCATTGTTGTAACAAGAAATATTTTCACTTCTCAGAACATCAAATCTGAAAATAAAGTTTTGTTCCACATGTTGGAAAGCAAATACTGAATAAATAATTATTTAATTAGGTCTTAATACAAAGTAACTGCATTTGTAGTATTAGATTTAGTAATAGTGCCACTTGTAATAAGAGAGGTTATTAGTATGGTAATTTGCTGATGTGGTTAGGAATGTATAGTAATTACTCTGTAATTCAAAGTACATAGTAACATGACAACCCTACAAGCACTCTTATGAAGTATGCATTGTAATAAGTGTCTAACAAATAAAGGTTTTGTACTTCACAGTAGTAATGGGTCTTTTGGCTCTGGATCTGAATCTTTTGGATCTGTTCATTTCAAAGAGCCATTCATTTTACCCATGAACTAATCACAGAGAGAAATGACCAAGGTTAAGATTGGATTAAAGTACTTCAAAGTGAAAGTAGGAGTGTGTTTACCCTTAAATGATGCATAATCTAAACACTGTGCTGCAGCAGAAAGAAAAACTATTATTATGATGCCAAATACGTTTTCTGTGTGAAAAGTTCTGACACATGTTGCCTCTTCCGCTTCTGTGCTAATTAGTGCTGATTCAATGTAAACTGGACATGAGCGTGACATCACTGCTCCACAGCTGAAGCTCAAGTGCCAAATGCCAATACCTGAAACACAAAGGTGTCCTGGGACAGGTGCTGGAGTGACGTCATGCTCCAGTGTCTGTCTCACAAACACTGCAGTGTTCCTTTACTCATGTCTATTGTGTATGTCAATGGCCATTATCACAGAGTTACTCCCACAACTTACTGTGAAGTGCCTGTGTGAGACGACTGTCACTTTATCCATTCACAAAATATAATAGCATTTGAAAAGTTGGATTAAATCTGCAACAGAATCTTATCAAGTCACTGCTCAGAAATATCTCAAAAAATATAATATATTCTACATAAATATAGATATACAGTACAGTGTCTTGTGTGTAATATTATAGGTTTATTTTAACAGCTCCAAAATGGAATGCAACAGCAGTGAGTCTGTCAGGCAGACGTCCAAAATCCACTGACGAGGTGTTGATAAAACAATAGGTCTTATTTAGTGTAAAATGTCAGGTTTGTGTTGATCCAAATGTAAGGTATGTCTTCAGATCATTATTGTACAATCTATTTGTTATAATGGATGTGATTTTGTTGTTCCAGGAAAAACCTATGGGACGTTTATGATGGTTTATGTTAGTATCAGCCCGATACAAACCAGAAAGTGTTATAAAGCATTGTCAGAAACCACAGAGCACACACAAAAGAATCAGGTAAAATAACAGATATTGTGAGAACAGGGATGCAACAACTAACTGTAAAGTAAGTGCATGCTATATTTATAGTGTCTTGTAGAAAACAATCGGTTCACTAATCTAAAGCAGAAGGTAAATAATGTAGTGCGTTAGAGAGGTGGTTTGGGCCACTGAAAATCTCCTTTAACAAATGATGGGGAATATTGGCTGATATAGCAAAAACATCCACAAACAATGTGTACCAAAAAGGCCAAAGGTGCATTGTCAGCCCAGGTGAGCTGAATACCCCAGGACTTAACTATAGCAATTAGATTGAAAGATTAGATTGATTATGACTATTTACATCTGGTAGTGATTTTAAAACGTTCTGTGATACAAGATGTTTATGTAAAATGTTTTTTTCTCTATAGACACTGACAAATAAGTCTGAAATAATTGTGATGGATATAGGCCAACTTACTTGCCACAAAGACTTAAATCCTATAATCTATGGAACCTTTATTATGTAGCATCTTTTGGCTTGTGCCAACCGAAATCCCAACTCTACACATGGACTAGGCCTATACATACTTACATGGATAGTTTGTCCTACTGTAATAAATGATAGGGAATGAGGTTCATCCCAGCACATTCATCTCTATAAGTCTTGGCTGAGTAATGCTAATAACTTAATCACCTATATGTGTTTTTATGTTTTACATGTTTTTTATGAACGTATAAACCTATAACAAAGTGTTCTTTGGGCTAGGACCTACTTCAAAGACTTATTGACATTTTATCCAGTGCTTCGAGCTTCAAAACAGTTTAACCAATGATGATATTGCCTATTACTGAGTTATAAATATTGATATGACACAAAAGGTGTGAGAGGAGACAGTGGACGTAACCTCGAGGCCTGGACTCACCGTGGCCGAGCTGAGGCTGCTGTCCGTCAGCGTGAGGTGGTGTGGCTCCCAGCGGCGCAGGAACTTGGAGGTGAGGATCTTGCTGAGGAAGGTGCGCGGATGTTTGAGCACGCACACCTGGATGTCGCCCTCGTGGAGCAGCTTGTAGCGCATCCCCCCTCCTCCGCAGTGGTGCAGGCTCCTCTTGCACGGCCCCGCGGCCACTTTACAGTTATTATTGCCTTCGGTCGTGTCCCCCAGCAGCGGCTTGTTCTCCTCGCACTGGTAAAACTGGTTATTGTGCAGCTCGCCCCCTCCACCACCGCCGCTGCCATTGCTCAGATCCATAGCACCTCTTACGATCCAACCGTCTATTATTTCCAAATGTCGCCGAGCCGAAGCAGGCCTACATGTATGTGCCAAACACTGGGGGTGGGGGGACCTACCTTCGGCCCAGCCCGCTGTCTGTCCTGTGTCGAGCGCACGTTATCCACAAAAACGCGTCAATAATCCACCATTTTCCTCCACGACTGTGTCCCCCGCCTCCTCAGAGCAGCTATTCAATATGTTAGGGCCATGGCCTTGTCCAGCGCGCCCGCCCCTCTGCCAAATACTGTAATCCGCGACAAAAGACGGGAGACACGACGAGAAAAGACTGGAAATGCCTCAAAGTGAAATGTCCCTGGCCGCTCCGTTCGTATTCAGTCCAACCTTAGCAGCAGCGTTTCCTTTTTCTTACCCTGATCCTTCGCTGTGTCTGTGTGTACAGCAGCCAGCTCTGTGCGGCTGCGGCGCGCCGGTTGGTCCCCGCTCGTTCATGTGATACCGGACTGACGTCAATGGGGAGGCGAGCGGATGAGCTGTGTCTGAGCGCTCCGCTGTCTGTGCGCCCGCCCCTCAGCCCTCCTCCCTGCGCTCCCTCAGCCCAACCTCACGGCCTCAACATCAGCGCAGGAAACATGGAGGAGCGCCTTCAGTGGAAATGATGCAGCTGTGCACATCCCGCACGCCTCATATCAACAGTCTACTGTAGCATATATGCGCTCTGCTGCTTAAAGGGACAGGACGTGATCATAGAACTTGTAGAGTCAGAAGTCTGAATAGTGGCATAGACTTACTCAAAAGCAGCTGTTTTTAAGCCCCAGCTGCATAAGGAAGGATTAAACCCATAGGCTATTCTTTGTGCCAGTCCCAAGCCCATGTTGACAATGTAATGTAATTGTATTATGTAGCAATACAAAACACAGTTAATTAGAAGGCTACAGGCCTATTTCATAAGACAGCATCTGCGGAGGCACACAGACATACTGACAGACAAAACTTCTCGGGTGTCCATTTTAGCTTGACACAGGGACAAACATTTGTTTTTGCATTTATTTTTCATTAGGCTATTTGTGATACAAGGGCAACTTAAAGTGGGAAAGATGCAGTCCAGTTCAGACTGTGAACCCTGCCCGTGAGGGATTTCAGAGACAAAGAAGAAGGAAATGTGAGCTCAACTAAGTGAGAGAGTATGAGGTAGTTTGTGTTTTGTCCGTATATACACAATTTGTTTCATAAATAAGAGCCCTGGACCTGTAACAACTTAGGGTCCCTTGATGAAATAAATACCTTCAGGTAAACTCACTACTTGAGTCGATATTCACAAAATGGTAAAAGTGACTAACTTCTTGGAGAATAGACAGCTCCGTAGAGCCTGAAAAGTATTTAACATGGGACATACAGCACCTGAATCTCATGGGCCCTTTGCCACAACAACACATTTTTCCATGACATCCCCAGCAGCCGCACTCCTGGTGATTCAATGTTCACTTCGGAGACAAGTTTTAGCACGTATTCACACAGTAAGACCACTCACTCTGTCAACAGTAACAGCAACAATGAGACGAACAGTGGCTGTAACGCATCAGTCACACTCATGAGGGACTGCTTTCATGGTATATGGAAATCATTGTATCCAACATTCCAAAATGTACAGCTAGAAACAAACTCTAATTTATGTAGTAGGACGAAAGTTCAAAGTAAGTCGAAAATGAGCTTTATTAAAGTGTGAGTGTGGTGTTTTAGTAGGATTTGCTGTTCCTTTTAGTGCAAGGGCAGCTATGCAGCTATGGCCTAAAACAATCAAAAACTGAATGTGCTGCCAACTGTGGTTAAACTCTGCTAAGAGTCAGATGTTTAAAATTTTTCCTTCTTAATTAAAGGTGCATTATGTAACCTTTCTGATATAGGGTCACCACCTGCTTATCTCCATGAAGACGTTTTGCTTTGCCTGCATGTTTGACAGCATTAAACTCACATACCTTCATACCTTGCACTTTTTGAATTACAGTTTTTTATTGATAAAACATACTTTGAAAATATGCATTCTTATCATGAGTGGGTTGGCCTTTCCACACTCTGACCTGTAACTTGGCCTGTTGGTGTCACCATGGAGATAGACTAGTTTAATGCCATAATGTGGAACATAATACAAAGCAAAGCATTTTGACACTGCACCTTTAAATGGTAAGCACATGTTTTTGGTCAGACTATGATGATGGGAGACAGGCCCTCTGCTGAGATGGTCACAGCTGGAGCCTTCATAAACACAGGACAGTGAGCAGGCGCATTCACCTAAACGTGCTCCATGGGCTCTAACATGGCGTGATGTGTGTAGTTCCTTTAATAAGTCTGCTCACATGTCCAGTCTACAGACCACAGCTGACCACAGTCACATGACGCTATTATCAGGAGAGCCATGCTCTGGTCAAAAAGCTATAAACATGCGCACGAAAACAAAGTCTCAACAACTACAAGAAATTTTAAACAATATTGCAATTATCAAATCCTAAAGCCAAGATAATTAGAGTTAAATCCCATCAAGTACACATAATTTCTGTCCACTCCAAACCCTTATTACCCTTCTCAGCTCAGTCTTAAATGGATTTTCTCATATTAGGGAAATTTATAATTTGTGGATTTTTTTCATTTTCATAAATTTTATGTAAACTAAACTACCACATCATTAGCAGAGAACTCATTGAACTGCATGTCCAGATTGAGGTGGGTCTGAGCTCGCAGTGGTCACAGGACAGGATTGGTCTCCTGCAGTTGTCACAAGAGCAGATCACTGTGACTGTGTCAGCGCTGCTGTATAGGCCCATTTTACAGGCCCGCAGGCGACTGCAAGTTTAGACATGAAGTATGGAAAACATCAGACGTCATCCTCACTCGGCCACACAAGCAAAACTACAATGGAATACACTGGAAAATGAAACAATGTTATGGGAATAACTTTGTTCATCAGTGATGCATTTTGAAGCAATGCTGATTATGTCTGTTTTCTTTTCCTTTAAAGATTTCTCTGAGATGCAGGGGCTGATTTCGATTCCTTTCCAAGCACATGAATAGTATTCTCTGGTGTCACCAATATAAATGACATGATGCACAATATAAGCAGTAATTACTTAGGAATTTACTGTAGTCTATTGTATAGTCTGAATATACAAACTACTTTCACTCTATAGAAGCTATTTAACACCAACCCAAACAGTGGCATTGCAGAATAACCAGTCTGTTTATCCCAGTAGTTGCTTTATTGTCTCTGACGTGAATGGATGACACATGGATGACGTTTACAAAGAGTTGCTCAAGCATAAGTTACAAAAAGTAGAAAACCATTGCTCTCCCATCTTTCACAACTCAGCAGTGTCTCACACAAGAACATTTCAAACTCAAACTGATAACTATTCCCTTTCATTTTGATCTGAACAACGCACACTCTGGGACACTACTGAGTAAGATGGTGATTTTAAGACTGTGTGCATATGAATCACTCTATTGAGACACAATTGTATATTTTTGTATTACACTCCAGGTAGCATTTGATTTGGTAGAACAAAATTGTGATGAAGCAGTGACACAAAAAATGTACATTCTTTTTGAACACTGGTACAGTAACTCCTCTGTCAGTGAAAATACACAATAAAGTAAACAAAATTCTACTATGAAGTTAATATGAATATTCCTGATGGAGCATTTCCTAGTTTTATCAGTACATTAATTTCTGTGACACAAGATACTATAGTTTAAACTTTTGTGTACAAATCAAATAATGGACATTAACCTGAAGTTTTTCAGTATAAGAAAAAAAAAAAAACACACACATACGGACATTCTATGCTTTTTGGGGACATTACATTACATCACCAACCCACATCTTAACTTCCCCAGTAGTTCCCAAACTTTTTCTTACAGAAACCCCTATTTTGCCCTTTGATATGTTGGTTGCCCAAATAGTTACTGTACTGTAGTGGGAAAATACAATTATATTAAAAAATCAAAAATATAATTTTTGATTAAAAGATGTTACATAACAGTAATGATTTTAAAACACTATATAGAAGGAATTAAGATATCATACCTTCTTTAAAATTCACACAATCTAGTTTGACCCTCTTTTTTAAGAACCCTTGGGGACCCCCTAAGTATTTTGGGTCCCCAAATTTAACTACTGACCCCCACGTTGGAAATAATTGCTTTAAATTATGCTATTGATCTATTACTTAATAAATTTCATAATTTTTGTCTCCATAAGGCAGGCGGTCCCAATGAATTTAGTGTTGTAATAAATACCTGATTTGATTTGTTTTTACATCAACTTTCAAGTCAAAATTGTGCCACCAACTACAACTCCAATGTTAGGCCTGTCATGATAATGACTATATTGACTTATCGTTCAATATATGACAGATGGAACAATAATTTGGGGGGGTCAATATTTATTTGTGTGTACCTTTTCTTTGTACTACTGAGAAATTTTTTATTATTTTTTCTGCAGTATAAGATTTGAGCTGATGAAGGCTGAATTATTAACTAAAATGATGAACTTATAACTTTATTTATTTATTTGCAGCTCAACTATATTTAACAATATTGTACTTTTAAAGTACTTTTTAAGGGGAATAATTCAGCTTCACGGTTTAGTTACAATATTATCGTTTATCGTGTATATATTTACTTTAGCAGTACATCACACTTCAGAATGTGTTATCATGACAGGCCTATAGTAACAAAGACAATGTTCCACTGGAAATGAAACAGTGCCGCTTTCAGGGAACGATGGAGTGTGCACCTGACGACAGACAGCAGCAGCTGAAGGAACAAATGGGGGTCAATGGCTGCCAAAAGTGTCCTGACTGGAAAGCAAGGTCAAAGGTCACAGGCAGCCAAACACATAGAGCCACTCAGAAGTGACAGACATGAGGTCTATTTCTGCACTTCAGCCCAGTCCATGATAAAAGTGATTATCAGGTAAAGTGCCTGTGCTCTAGAGTCCACCCGTCACACAGTGCATGGGAAAGGGCAGACTTGAAGAGATGCTACACTCATCTCCAGCTTGTTTCACTAGTGTTTAAAAGCAAAAGAAAAATTTAATTACCTGGACTACTGAGGGATTACACAGGCATATTGTTTAAGAGACTGTTTTCCTCTGTATCAGTTCCTGTGTTGAGTTATGTAAATATAAAGATTCTGTGATTAAAGGGGTGGGTATTACAGATAAATGATTGAAAAGTTGTATTTTAAATTATTTTTTTGTTATTGCTTTTTTTTAGTTTGAACAAGGTTTCATTGTTGCATAAGTAATAGCTGGAGGCACATTCAAAGAAGGGCGGTTTACATTTTGCATCACTGTGAAGTTTGCATATCTAACTCTAACAGTTGCACACTGACATATTACAGATAGTAGTGATGATTACTTAAGGTCTGCCCCATTAGTCACTTCCCTCATGTCATTTAAAATGGTTACAGAAGAAATAAAAAATAATCATACTAGTGTCATACAACTCTAGCATGTTTAAAGTTCCATTAAAAAAGAACTAAAACAGTGCCTGCACTGTGCTCAACACTGATGTTTTTAGGCATTACTGTGAAAATAAATACTTGTTTTTAACTGGTCTACCTTGTCTAGTGAGATCCATTGTAGATTACAGTAAGATAGTAGTACAACAGTAGTTCATTCTAGTTTTACGAGTTTAAAAAATACCCAGAAACCAAATAGTTAGCAGTCACATAAAGGGTGTGCAAAAGGAAAAGTCCTCAGAGCGCAAACCCTCTGCATTACAATTACAGTTTGTTATTTAGGCTTCTTCCCATCACCGAGCAAATGAGAATTCAGGACACATACCATGATTCTAGCACATAAAGTTAAAAAGGTAAAAATGTTCTTTGGCCTGTTCCAAACCAGACTGTACCAGTGTGTATATGAAGAAGGAGCCTGTATGCCATCAGAGCCCCACTCGGATGCGGAACATGCCCTGGTGCAGTTGCAGTCTGAACAGTTTACAGTTGGCGAAACGCAGTGAGGTGCAGGTGGTTTTGGACAGGTCAGAGGTCAACATAGGCTTGGTCCGGTGCCAGGTTCCAGTGCTTCTACGAAATTCACGAATGTAGTCAAAACTAGTACCTGTAAGAAACAAAAAACTTTAAAATTGTTAACTTAAGAAAGCTCAACTAGGATTCTGGTATATCATGTCTTGAACTCACCTGTGTCAAGATCTCCAACCACATAGATGTTTGGCCCGATAGGCACAGCCCCGTACACAAAGGAAGAGCTGGTCGGAATACAAAGACTTTGGTCGTCCAACAGCATCCATCTGAAAACACAATGTTATACTTGAATGGGGATGAAATTAAAACTGTTTTTTAAAATATAGGACCCCCCACATTAGCTAGCCCTTGAGGACAGATAATCAGGATCCTAATAAACAAATAAAAAATACTTCAAGCTATACCAAAGTGCACCATAACACCAATGGGTCGAAAACTGCACAAATGTCTTTTAGTTAAGCCTAGCTCTTCTTAATGGTTGCTGATGCTTATAATTTTGGTTTAACTACACACAATTTAAGAGTATCTTTTTTGTATCTTTTGAACAGGGTTGTAAAACTGTGGCTCCCAATTTTTTGTCCTTGAATGTCCTTGACACCTCCACATTTGTTTTAGTTTTCTGCCCTGTGATTGGTCCAGTCGTTCCAAACCACAGGTGAATGCTATCCCAAATGTAACAGCAGGAGTAGGACAAGATGGATTCTTGTGACTTTTTGAAATGATAAAGATTGTAAGAAATCATCTTGCAGTGCAAGATCAAAGTTGGGAACCACTTCTTAGAACAAACAGAAGATCATGTGAAAAACTGAAGGGGCACCTCCTCAGCTCATCATGGTAAAATTCAGATTTGCAGGTCATCATCTGTCTCTGCTCTGGATTCTCATTTTCTTGGCTCCGGACTCCTCCGAACACATACAGCTCCTGTGCAATGCCACACGCCACAGACCCAAATCTGACAACACAGAAAAAACCTCAATGTCCTAACCCAAAAAGACATAAGTTCTGCTTAAAGAAAACACAACACAGACTTACAAGTTTTTCTGAGGTTGAAAAAGAAAACTTTATTGTCCATGTCTAGTTGAAATGGCAAAACCCTGGGGAATAAGTTCCAGTAAACTGCAACTGCCACTAAAACTATTTTTAGTTTGTAACGCAAAACAGAAAGTAAATGTCATGATGTCACTGTAGTTTTTTCAAAATGTAAAAATTTCTTTACGGGAATAGGGAACCAAAATCCCGCTGAGGACCAACAGCCTAAAAACACACGTGTTGGAACACTAAGTAAAGCTACAGCCAATGAATACGAGATTTTGTATTCTATATTGGTCACACGTTTATTTCACATGCTGAGCTAATTCCTAGAACAGAAAGTAGTTTTTGAACACTGGTCTATCACGCCCATCATGATTGTCTTCCTGAGCAAAACACCTGACTTAGTGTGACTAAAGGGATGTGTGTGAGGAGACAGAAACTAGACAAGTTCCTGCGGTGAGGTATATCATGCTTACAGTGAAGCAACAATGTAAAGCCCAGGGCAAACTGAAAGTACCTCCTCTCCTTCAGGGGACACAGGCCAGTCCACTGCTGGGTCTTTGGGTCAAAGCACTCCACAGAGTCAAACAGTTTCCCATAGGAGCCCCCTCCCATGGCATAGATCTTTTTGTTCATCGCTGCATAACACCCAATCTGAAAGTCCACACACACAAGCATTCATGTTTCAAATAGCTCTTGTCAATATTTTACAATGCAGACAGGTTTGGACAAGGGTGGAGAAAAGCCAGCAACCATTGTCTTATATTAAAGATGTACAATGTAACTTGTTTCAAGTGAAGGGTTCGCCATTTTCTTGTCTCAGTGGAGATATTATTGCTTTGCCTGGCATACTCTGTATTATGGCATTAAACCTAACTCTATGAAGATAAGCAGAGTCTATCAGGCGGCCCTGCTCACAGTAAGTTTTTTTTTTCAAAGTATAGTATATTTTAACAATTAAAAAAACACACAGCAACAATAGAACAAATGAAATGGTGGTTAATGGATAAGTTAAAGCGCTACCCAGAACATTGCAGGCAAAGCAATAACATCTCCATGAACACCCCTCCAGAAACATTACATAGCTTTACTTTAAAAGGGGCACTAACTCATAAAAGGTAGAAGCTCGTTAATCAATTCCTCCATTATAAAGAGTAAAATTAGTTTTATGAAAGCACATATCACTACATCATGCTATATTTTATTCATTTGTGACCTGCAGAAAATGTAATGAGAAAACTGTGGCAACCATTGCCAAAACACAACAGGAAATATTGTACCAAAACGTGGACAGTACCTTGCGGACCATAGTCATATCTGTCTGTGTTTTCCATGTGTTGAAGTGTGGGTCAAACACTTCCACAGAGATCAGCTCCATCACCTCATTCTCTCCTCCCAGGATGTAGATCAGCCCGTCCAACTCCACTATACCAAAGTTCTGCCGGGCCTAAAACATGTGCAAAATATTACAAATGACTTTTTATTATTATTATTTGCACTGGGGGGGGGGGCTTTTACTTTGAAAATTCCTTCCTTGATGTTGAATGTTTTTGATTAGGGCTTTTAAAATCCATCTGCACAAGGAATTTCATATGTTTATGAAAAAAAAAATTCTTACTTTGCCATATTTTGCTCTAACTTTTACCAAACACAAATTAAACTTTTTAAGTTGTAGTGGGAAATATATGCAAAAGAGTAAGAGGTTATATGTATATGTATATGAATATGATCATTTGTGCAGTATTTCAATGCTATTGTTACTCAGGCACTTTAAGCACATTCGATCAAAGTAGCATTCAACAAAATCAAACTAGTTGATTATATGTTGTGATAAAAACAAACATTATCTTCTTGTAATATATTCATCTCTTTGTTTTGTTTAGACCTCATCAGTTTTGTGATAATGCAAAAAAAAAAAAAAAAAAAAAAAAAAACGAACAAAAAAAAAATAAAAAAAACGACAAAGCTGCCTGAGCTCCAGGCAGTTAGTGTCATGGCATTTCAGCAACTTTAGTGACGCCCAGTGGTAAGATGAAGCAATTACAAGAACTAGGTCACAGATTATTATTATTATTATTACTATTATTATTATTATAAATGTTCAGTTTATATAACTAAAGGCTCAAGCTATACAATACTTACAGCTAGTACTAAAGTTGTATTTTGAGTATTATTACTTTTGATTTCACTAAAGACTCAAAATACAAATGTAGCCCATTTGAAGCCTTATGATGCTTAATCCAGGACAGTCTGTGACCTTGTGCAGATGTACAACAAAGATTTGCCCTCTGTAGGTACTGGGCTCATTAGAAATGATTAGTCCGTTTGTTGTCGTCATTTTGCTTTAAATGCAATTCATGGGTTTTTATTGGTCTTGTCTAAAAGGTTTAGAGTTGGCTTATTCTAGGATTTTCTTTTGGTGGTAGAAAATATAAATACAGCCCAATAAAATCTGTGTTTCCAATTTACTCATTCAAAACAAACATTTCTCTTGGCTTTCTAATCCAATCTTTCACATAATACTGGTTTTACAGGGTGGATGGGACAGAATAAGATAATATCTGCATTTTGTCTTTTAGAAGTAGAAGCAGCAACAGGTATTTATTATAATGATTTGGGGAAAAAATTACCCTGAATACCTGAAAACTATTCTCTACAGTGAATACTTCAGTACTTAAAATTTTAATACTATATGAGCAATATTTACAAACTGCTTGTTTCCATGGAGATGTTCTTGTTTAGCCTGGAATATTCCACAATTTGTCATGAAACTCATAAAACTCCCCATGCAAAATAGTCAAATGTTTCCCTTAACTTTTGTATTTCCATGAGGTCATGCAGGTGGTGTGTCTGTCAAAAATCTTTAACTTTAAAACAAGTAACCCATTAGGTGGCCATATTAAATACCTGCAGCATTGGTGGTACAGGGCTCCAGCTGTTTGTATCGGGATCGTATTTCTCTGCAGTGTCCAGTATCCTGTTGTGTTCATCTGTCCCTCCCATCACAAACAGAAAACCCTCTGAAAAAAAAAAGTAATCCCATATTTGAGGAATATGTGTTCTCATCTATGCCATAACCCTGGGACACTGACCAGCAGACACCATCCCATGTCCCAGTCGGGGAGAGCTCATGGGCTGCAGCTCTATCCAGGCCTGTCTGTTGGGGTCATATAGAGGGCACATGCAGCGGGTCACAGCAGTCGGCTTCCGAGTTCTGAATAAATAAATATGGCATTTGTTACTTGTGTCAACAATGGCTTCAATGCAACTTGTAAAGTGGGTTTGGGTGGAATTTGCAGTTAAAATGATAAAAAACAAATAAATCTAACCCACCATTATTTGACATTGCATCTTCTATGATGCATGTACAATAGTAGACGATAGTTACTTACTTGCGATCTTCTCCTCCAGCAATTACAATGCACTCAGAGTAGCCCCGAGGTTTAAATGATGCCAATAGCGCTTCTCCCTGCAGCTGCCCAGCCCCTATTACAGATTGACAGTAGTCTCTGACCACTTCTCTCATCAGGGGCTCACCCAGTGCCTGGAGGGAAAGAGCATCAAATACATATGTTTGTATGTTTTACACAAAATGTAGATGTATTTTTTGTATTGTAATTATTGTACTGTGAAGTCACACTATAATACCTGTTCTCTGAGGTAACTCAGGTCTAGGCCCTGCGTCCACACAGTGGACATCACCTCTCTCATGTGTACCTACATTACACATATAAACAAATGGATCTTTGAACTGTATTAATCCAACATAGAAAATACATGTAGAGTATTAAATAACCCACCCTGCGATCCTCGGGATCATGAGCAAACCACCGCACTGCCCCTTCCAGCACATACTTCTCATTGCCTACATTTAGTTTCTCCATAGAGAAGATCTCACAGAGCCGTTCATGAGGCAGCTCTCTAAACTCCTCTGTGAGAGCCACATCTCTGAAGTGTGTCTGTAGGAACTCGGTAGCAGCATAGTGTACATGGTACAGACAGTAATGAAGAGAGAAGAGACGGATACCAATGCAGTTCTCAGCAGTGATGCAGCTCTCCAAAAACTGGCAACACAGTAACTTGAGGTCAGTCATGAGCAGCAAGTCTGAAGCCTGCACCATGTCCTGGACCATCTCCTCACTCAGTGTGATCTGGGGAACAAGGAAATATTAACAGTAAAGCTGGGTTTGCTCTAAAACAATGCGCAAAACTACAGGAATATTGTTATAAATTAACAAAACAAAGGGTCTTTCATTCTAAATCCAGAAACTAAATATTTACTACTATTTTGTTTATTTCATGGACAGCTCTAAACTCTATCATATTTTATTCCTTGTCTGTAAAAAAAACAACGTCTGGTCTTCTTACAGACTCTTTGTCCATATAGCTCACGACTATTTTCTGTACTGGTATTAAATACTTGCTACCAAACACAACAGAGAAACTTGGGAGGAATTGTGAATACATATTTCGGGACACTGGACAAAAGACATCTCAAAAGACCCTTACTTCACCACTGAAAATATAGTCCAGGATCTGTTTCATGGTCTCCATGGAGACTCCCTGGAGTTCAATTCTGTACATAGAGCCATCTTCCTTTGGAGGATTGTAGTTTAACTTGGTCCTAGCAAGCAGAGCAAAACACAAGTATGACGACCAATGACAGTAGGAGACACACCCATGTTGCACCCACACCATAAATATCATAAACCATGCAGAGATTCTGTGGTTTGGAAGCACAGTAAATGCTCCAACCTTATATAAGGGCTTGCAGCAGCCAGAATATTCTTCTGAACGGGAAGTTCTTCTCCGTCCACCACCAGCAGTGCATCATGGAAGCTCTGCTCCTGCCAGAAGGATCGCAGCACCTGAAGGAGTTTCTGGGAATGCTGTGGATCAGACACTTTTGAACCCGTGTCGGGCATGTCTGGGGCTGTGGCTGGGTTTAAAAATCTGCATATATCAGAAAAATGTTAAATCAACAATACAACAGTTACAATGTCATATTGACTTTACTGAGTTTTATGAAACATATAAGCCAGTCATTAACAAGGCCTTGTTACACACAATGCCTGAGTAATGTAAAAACACTATTATGAGAGTCTGTGGGTAATCTTGAACAATACAAACAAAATCTATGCAGACCTTTCAAAGAAGTGTGCTAGTGTTTACTGAACAGATGGACAACAGAAGACTCGGGACAAGAGCACGTCATTTTTCTAACCTGGCCATTTTTGCTGTCTTTAAAACTTCAGCCAGCATATTTTGTGATCGAGCACAAAGAGTGAGCTAACACGTAAAAGCAAGAAGGCTAGTACTACAACTCACATTTCTAGTTGGCTAAAGCTGCAGCAGAAAAACAACACTGAATAGCAATGCTTTCATTTAGCTAATGTCTTCTAGTATTCAATATACGGTATTCTTAAAACAGAGCCTTACCGTAGTAAAACGTGTATTACGACTCAACCCGGTGCTGTGCTAGCATGACTTGAATCACTCCGGGGCGAGAATGTTGGAAGAGGGCGTGAAGTCAAGACAGGTAACGTTAATGTGATGTATGGATTTATGGTTTACTGTATTGTAAAATATATCAGATAGAAAAGGGAGGCAAAAACACACGAATAACTTTAGAGTGTAGTGTGCTTATAATGGCAAAACAGACACCCGACACATCACATTTGGTTGAATCTTCGTAATTTTCCAATATTTGGGGAAAAAACAGAACAGGAAGTTATCTAGAGACAGTAGAACCAAAATAGTAACTTTCAAAATAAAATTGTTTTGACGGAAACGGCAGTATTCCCGTTCATCTTAGCCATGGAAAAATGCGTCGTTCACGTTTTGAAATCTCAAAATGAAATTTAAATTATGTTAAGAAAAATTATGTTAAGAAAACAACACTTAAAAATAATAAAGCCTGTCTCTTGTGTCATCGTAGCGTTCTTTAGTGGAACTACGGGTAATTGAAACATTTTCCGGCGGAACAAAATAGGAACGGACCATTTGAAAATTAAAATAAAAATCGAGATGTTAGCTCGGGGCAGGCTAAATCCGTGGATAGAGAACTTGATCGTGAGCTTTGGCGGTGATGAAGGCCCAAGCATTGGACCACTCAAGGCACATGTCATTGGGGTTGGTCACATGTCGCAGTCTCAAGCGCTGGGCTCAGAGGGTCCCACGGGGCTACTCTTTCTGTCCGATGAGCGGGTGCAGATTCCAGCCGTCCTCACTGCGTCAGCCTGGGAGAACCTCCAGGACCGTGAAGACCGGGAGTGCTTCAGCAGTTTGCTCAACACCACAGTGGGCATTCAGGATTATAAACTGCGATTTCACAGGTCCGAGGAGCAGACCCAGAGCCGTTTTTATTTGTTAGTGGGAAAGCTGGTCACAACGGCAGTGGGGGTCAGGGACAACACTCCCTGCTGTACTAGTCTACCCTCTGTCCGGGCTAAAATTTGTCAGGCATGGCGTGCTATGTTGGGGCACGAGGATTATTCCCAAAAGAGTGAGAGCATGTTTAACCTTACAGAGCTACTTGGGGAATGGCAGCAAGATTGTCTGCAGTCTGAGCTGGAGCACGTCAGAGAAAAACTCAGCTCTGTGAACCCGCAACCATCCACCTCAACAAATTCCACTCCCCTGCCTGATACATGTATGGCCACTGGCTGGGACATTGATACTGTTCGATACAAAGGGGTAGAGAGCTTTACTGTCCCAGTTAAACAGCTCATTATCCCAGACAATGTGGGGCAACAACATCTACAACCAAAAACTTTCTCAGAGAATGAGAGGACCTCACTGTCAGAGGCATCTCCAGAGTCCACAAATATGCAATCAGCTTTACCTGAACCTGGACAGCAAAGTACCAGTGATAATGTGTCTAATTCCATTGAGTTTGCACCTGTAGGGCTGAGTGCTGTTGACATGAGTTGTATGTCCAACCCTTGGAACATGTGTCCTCCTCCCAGCAACACATCTTCAACCAAATCCAGCCCTGAATCCACTCCACTTCCACGCAGGCCCATCTTCAGTGAATCCACCACTAATCTCTCCCATCTGGACCCCAGCACCCACTCAAAAGGGTCCCAGAGAGAAGTGAGTAAATCAGTCCAACTTGTAGTCACTCTTCTTCTTGCAGAGATACTCATATAGCATATAATTTATGGTTTGTTGTTACTACTGTTATTGTCAACAAAACAAGCATCTAGTATCTGTATTCTATTTATCGTGGGTAAAATTTCTTTACAATAGAGTAAGAAGGGGTGACTGTTGTTATTTTTATGCAATAAGATACGATTTGAGCTGTAGAGAGTAGAACAAATAACGTGGTGAGTAATTATTGGTTCATTTTATTGTTTATAGCTTATGCCTTTTAATGATACTATTTAAAAATTGGTTTTCTGAGATTCTCATGCCTTGTGTCAGTGGCATAATGTAGTTTCAGTAGTATCAATTATTTCTCTGTAGCAACATATGCTTCATGTTATCATGACAGACCTAGTTATGTTGATTATACAGGCTCACTGCATACTCCAAAATAAAACGTTTTATAACAAAGGCAGCAATAAAATAGTGGACAATGTGTGATATTCATCAATAATACACTTATTCATTTTATCTTAAATTAATTAGTTAAAAATGTAATATAAAAATAGAAATAATAGTCTACTATCAATATTACTACCAATACTATAAAACAATTCTTTGTTGCAGCTCTACTGAATAAAATCCTTGTGTTATCTTTGCTGCCTGTTATTATCATAATAATTACACTATAAATGAACATAATTACACTATTTTCAGTGTTTTCAATCAGTGTCTTGAATGAAAAAAAATTACATTGTATTTTTTTTATTCAGATTTATAGTTTTGCTCCTTTATCTTTTTGATTCTAGCTTACAGCAGAGCCAAGTTTGATTTCACCTTACCAGAGACCTGCCTCAGCAACCCCCCTCTCCACCTCCTCAAAACAGTCTGCAAATGCACTGTCCAACATGTCTCAAGTTCCTAATCTTGACAGCTCCACAACAGAAGAAACATCAGATGAACAGCCTAGCAGAAAATGTAAAAGGTCTTTGAGGAAGAGAAGTGCTTCTCCCATAGATGTGAAAGAGATTTTACATAAAGAGATCAGCCCTCCTTCATGGTTGTTTGACTCCCAGATGGGGGCCACATCTGAGCAGAGCACCTCTCAGATGCAGATTTCCTCTGCTGAGCAGCAAACTAATGTGTACACCTGTGTCCACACAGATGGCAAACCATTCTCCTACACCTACCAGGTCAAAGCTCAGGAACTGCAGCACTTGAGCCATTTCACTGTGAAGCAGGATCTCCAGCAGTGGGCAGTGAGGTATCTGCTGAGGCCCACACACATAAAGCACAAGAGTACAGGTGTAGCTGCACCCACGACTCAACACAGCCACATTACAATATCTTAGAACTTGGCTGTCTAAGATTGTGTGTAAAAATATTGCTATTTTGTAGTTCAAGTTATTTTATACATATAATTGTTTATATCAATGATGTACATTATAATGATTGTGGTTACATTCACAATAGATTTTTTATGTGTTCTGGACTGCATTATAACAATTATATACATGTAATTCAAATGCAAAAAAAACACTTTCTTTTCAGCTGGAATAATTAAGACAGCTAGGTTGTTTTAAATAGGATTTTTTTTTATAACACCACTGTCCTGTGTGCCATAGCAAAATAACCTTACTGCATTGCTATGCAATGATGTTAGAGTCCATGTTTGAAAATTAAATTATGTTGTCCTACAGTTTATTTTACATTCAAAGTTTTAGACTGGTGTTTGTTATTTTGTTCAAATGTACAGTGAAGCTGAATAAACGTTTGTTGTTAAAATGTTGATATAAGTCAATCTTATATATTTTAATCATCACACTTATTTTTTGTAGTTCAAATAGGGAATCTAACACCTACAAAATACATTGTAAATGGCAACAACAGTTTGTGATTAAACCACAAGGAGTCGCTATAGACCTTCGCACGTACCTTCTCGAGTTGAAATTGGCTCTGAAATATCTTTAAAAATGTGTCCAAACACCAGTCTTGTTAGACATGCAATCGGTAATTACGCTGTTTTCTGAGACAGTTATTGCACAATTGTATTTTATATCAAACTAAACTTTATTTATCATTTAGCATAAGAATATAGTTGGGTGGATAGCGTTCATTTCCGTTGTTTATAGGCTATTTTAATATAAAAACAAGCATTTTGTCCACTTAATAAATTGGCCTCATTGCACTATAAATTTGATTAAAAACATAACTTTTATAATTATTTTATTCTATTAGAACAATGAAACTAATTACCAGACACACATTTAAACAGGCCTATATTGTTTTGCTCCAACAATCTTAAACATCAGTCACTGAACAGTTTCCCACTGAACACATAAGAATCCAGAGTCAGTGTCGCTGTGCGGATTCCTGAAAGGTCAGTGGCAGGTAAGAGCAGAGAGGGAATCCCACTTGGCACATGGACTGTCTGGACCCGAGGAATACCGCCGAGCGGAGCGCGCACGCGTCTGCTTCTCCCGACACGCGGTTTCGCACAGGTGCATCTTTCTTGAGGATGCTTTCAATGCTGAAGCACTTGGACTTGTCCGTAGTTGGGGTGTCCCGCTGCGTTGCCTGTGACCTGTCTGAGCGCGGCTCCTCCGGGGCCCTTGACCCCTGAGCGGTAGGGCATTTGAGTCTTTGCGCAGGTTTGTGCGAACCGTTCCTGGCTTTCCTTTTACGACGGCGGTAGTTGCCGTGCTCAAACATGTCTGTGCAGGACGCGTCCAGGGTCCAGTAGCTCCCCTTGCCGGGCCGACCCTTTTCCCGCGGGACTTTGATGAAGCAGTCGTTCAGGCTGAGGTTGTGGCGGATGGAGTTCTGCCAGCCCTGTTTGTTGTCGTGGTAGAAAGGGAAGCGCTCCATGATGAACTGGTAGATGCTGCTGAGCGTGGCGCGCTGCTGAGGCGCGCTCTTGATGGCCATGGCAATGAGAGCGATGTAGCTGAAAGGGGGCTTCTGAGGGGGCTCTCTGTGCGCGGCCACGAGGCTGAGAGCGTCTCCCGTGCCGTACAAGCACAGCAGCGGAGACCCAGGGAGCGCCAGCGCAGAGGGCCCGCGGAATAGCGCCATGGCTCTCCTCGCTCTGAGTGCGCGAAGGATCTTAATAATTGTTGTAAGCTTGTGTTGTTGACTTAACGCCGGGAAATAAATGGTCCATCATAAACAGCTGTGTTCTCAGCCCACCCACATCCATTACACTTTCATTCCCCTCCGTGGCCAATGAGCGCTGCTGTTTACAGAATTAGCTCTTGATAAGTCGCCCACCCAGCGAGAATCAAGCTGTGTTTATTTGGAAACATTTCCGGGCACCCAATACATAAACGCACTGATGTGCTGTTTGAAATCTCACGTCCAGCGCTTACGCTCTCTCACAGCGCACACACCCATACGCACACATTCAAAACAAGCAAACACGCCGTGGTCCTCTCTGAGCTGGCGTGGCCTCCCTCAAATCAAAACAAAGTGTAGAAAAGGGAAAATGATACAAACTGGTTCTTTTGACTGCTGTCAGAAGAACCAGGCCCACAGGGAGGGAAAGGGGAAAAAGGACAATTAAATGAGTATATGCAGCCATGTGAAACTTTCTGTACATTTTTATAAAAGGCCAAATTGGCTAAAGGTACATTTTTCACCATATTTTCACCATGTACAACAGTTCATTTTGAATTACTCCCACATGAAACATTCACAGAGATGCAAGCTGTTTCAAACAGTTTGTTGCAAATTCTGCAGCAATATAGCATTAGAGCTAGAACAACACGCCACTTTCCTGATCTCATTTAAAGCAGTTATGTTTAGATATTTTTTAGTTGCCGCGTCTTGTCTTATACAGTCTCAATCATGTCCACCCCTAAAAGCTCGACTGTGAAAACCTTCACTTCAAATGTCCCAGTTCCTGGTGCTCAGACAGTATTGCCTTACAAGGACAACATGGACAGACATATTATTTGTAGATGTGGGCTTGATGCTTTATGTTATGTATTTTCCTGTTTATAGGTCAGAGGAGGATTATAACAACTTTACAAGTGCACACAGCTGGGCCATGCTTACATTAGGACTTGGGCCTTTTTGTGGATAAACTGTCCTGTTTCTTTTTCTCAGACAGTGATTCATTGGACAATCAAAGTTTGCCAACATGTCAGTATGTGCTCATGGAACAGTACAGTATTTTGCAGATGAACATTCCTGAATGATCAAATTTGAGATAACATTTTTGACGAGACTGACTGTGGTTAATTAACTAAATTAGAGTACATATTTTCTTAAGTTTCATGGACATCAACTTTCATCAATAAACCTCCTCTGAAACTGTCAGTATGAATAATTCAGTCATAAGAGCACAGTGACTTGAGATGGCAGAGGCTTAGTTTGGCATATTCAGAGTTTGAGTAATGTATCTTCTCATTTTTAATAATTGGGGAAAAGTCACAGAGAAACATTTTCTTTTTCACTTTGTACATTTTGAAAAAGGAGGAGCAACTAAGCACTTAATATCCAAGTAAGACCTCAAGTGGTTTTGGATTCTACAGGTTTGAATTCTGGCTTTCTGAACAATTACTGTTTTGTTTTTGTTTTTATTACACTTATACACTTACAACAAAGCTTATGCTCCATACCAGCCTCCACTTACTCCCAATGTTTAAAGGGTCTATATTGCCCTATTTTCTGATCTTTGCAGTCTATGTGTTCTTATCAAAACATACCTGGAGTAGTGTTTTGTTTCATTTACACGTTTAACACACAAACCCTGTATATTTAGGCTTAGCAGTTCTTCTCTCAAACGGAAGGCACTCTGTTCCACCACGTGATATCATGTGGTAATATAAGAAGTGCTCCATTGTTTGTTTGTTTTTTGTTTTTGTTTTTTTAACTTTTCATCTCTACTGAACTAAAGGTAAAAGGTAGCTGTTAACTTGAGAAACCTTCATGACATCACAAGGTGGCACAGAGCATTTTGCGACATAGGCAAAATAATGATAAAGGGCAACTTAAACATGTGAGAATAAAACAAAACACAGCTCCAGGTCTGTTTTTGATGAGGTAACAACATTATAACTTGGCTTATAGCTCATAAGAGTCAGTTTTGTGCAAATAGGACTTTTAATTGGTTTTAGTTAGTCACCCCTTCACTAACAAAGTTTTATATTTCAATAATGTGTACACAATTTAGCCAAATAATAATAAGTTTCTTGCATGACGTGAGCTGCTCATTCTGTTCCATGCTAAGCGACACCAGTGTGAAATCAATGGTGACAGCAGTGTTACATACTCTGGTTCTGAAACAGCACTCTGCAAATGAGGAATGTTTGTTGAAATAAATAAACTGACCAGATTCAACTGAGAAGCGTTTCCTGTGTTTCAGAGTCTGTAAACAAGATGGAGAAGACATGTTCACAAATTCCAAATGATAATTACAGTGTTATAGGATTCATTTAGAATAATAATTTCAACAATCATGTCTTTACTGGATAATATATAGACATGCGAGTGAGACAGACTTCCAGCTTCCATAACATAACAAGGACAATTTAAAATTACATAACATCCTAACTCATTTAGGGGAGGACAAAGTTGGGGTATCGGTTTTTAGGTCTATATTTATATTGATACTTTGCAGCTGATGTCATTGATATTGTTTGTACTATTCAGTCTGAAGATCTTTTACTCAACTTTAAGCTTTGTTTTAACATAATTTGACCAGAGATAACTGAGCTGATTTGTGCTGTTTAAACAAGTCTCTCACACATAAAATTACAGTCACAAGCTATCTAGCATTTTTCAACAGTTTTTCAGGTAGTCACTCTCACATTTTTGTTGAAAATCAAACATCTAAACAGGACCGTGAACGCTCATATTGATCACAGGCTCCTGAAAATGTGCTTTTTAAATCCATGATGTATTTTTCCCTTTTTCTTAAAATTTATTTTGGCAGTGTTTGGTAATGTGTGCATTGTGTCACATGTTGAACACCCCCAGCATGATGTCCCTAAATCAATATTTATTTATGGCTTCAAAGACACATATCCTGGGCCTAAAGTCATGTGGGATTTTCCATACCCCCACTCCCTGCAAACGTGACTGCAAAAATGTTTCTCGATTAGTGTTATAACAACAACTGCATGTGTGCATGTCTGATTCCTATTTCCATGAGAGTGTTTAAGTGTCCCCTCTGAGTTCTGGCTGCTCTGCTCTGTCCATCACTCAAACAACACACAAATGAACCAGGGAGCTTTTTGAGCTATACTCAGGGTCCAGACGTTCTTTGAAATGGACCGATCAGTCATACCAGGTCCTAAAAGAGGTGCATTAGTTGAACAGTTATATATGAGATTATAATAACATACAAATAGATTTTTGTTTTGTTTTGTATTTGTTTGTATTCATGCTTTATCACTCCCTGGCAAGGTTCACACAAGTTTTATTGTGTTGAAATATGCAGTTTAGCAGTAATTTTCTGAACATTATGAATAACCTATTTATAGAAACAACTAGGCTTAATTTTAAGTTACAATTAAAGAATACAAAGCATAAAATAAATAGTCAATGTTGTGACAAATAAAGTGTGGTATTAATGAATGATTGTGGTAGCAGTAGTCCCCTTTGCTATTCCAGTGTATCAGTACTCTCTATTTCTATTAAGTGCTTTACATATTTCAAGTACTACATACAGTACACTTTGACACTTTGCAATGACATCATGCAGGGGTGTTCTACATCTATGTCTATGCATGAATAGTGCTCAGCAGTTACCATGGTGACACATTGCACAAATTAACACGTTTTCAGGAGAAATACACACGTTCATGGTCCTGTTTGGGTGTTTAATTTTAAAAATAAAAAGGTGAGAGTGACTAACTGAAAAACTGTTGGATCATGCTTGCTAGCTTGTGACTGTCATTTTATGTGTGAGAGACACAAATCATCTCACCTGTTGTAGTTCCAACTAAGTAAGTTTGTTGCATTAAAACAAAAGATCAGATTTATGTCTAACTTGAGTAACAGAACTTCAGATAGAGCAGTGTCATTAAAAAAGAATCAATATCAATAAAAAAGTATCATTAAAGTATCAATAAAAAGCATTTACTAATCATACGTATAGATCAGATTGTTCAAATAGCATAACCCCAGTTGTCCCTATCATCTGCAGAGTTTTGTAGGGCTGTAAAATGAAAGCCTGAGTGATTACATTTAAACTACTCTTCTCGTGATTCATACGGGATCACGGTTACATGGTTGGTCCTGGACAATCTCTCACTGAGTACTGCCAGGGCTGTGCTGCCTGCCTGCTTCAAACGCACTCCTAATCCAAGTGTTTGTTATATTTTTTCACTCCCTACATAAACGGGCTGCACTTGTCAAAATACACACTCAGCACTGGGCCAGGCCAGAGCAGTGATGAAGACGAATGGGCCTCTCTCAGGACTCACGAGCTACTAATCAACCCAACTTCACTGGCACTAACCTCCACACATAAGCCTCATTACAGGCTTCAGAAGGCACACGCGCAACACACAAAGGGGTACTGCTCATTGGTACAGAGGCCAGAGGAAGATGGCTGCTTGATTTGTTATGTTGTTAGTGATATTAATAGTATTTAGTAGAGGTTTGTAAGTAGAGGAGACATTGGATAAATAGAGATTGTAATCCAAGGGTTGAAAGTAATGAAGTACTAGTTAACATCACTTCAATATTTCAGTAAAAAGTAGTTTCCACTCTTCGTCATTTTAGATCCATTAGAGCTAAACATAGATAAAATGCAGTGGTAAATAGTGCTGATCAGATTTAATGGAGTTGTTTTGAGGATCAGCATAATAATAATAAACATATTGTACATGTAACTCTTTTACTGGAAGTGCATGGACACTTTCATGTGATACTTAAGTGAATGTTTTGCTTTTACTTTCACTTAAGTAATTCAGTATACTTGCTCCACTACAGCTGTTATCTAGGATTTCTATAAAGTCAACACTATAGGCTTACATATTTTATACATTTTCAACCTATCACATATAAAGAGAAGTAGATGTGGTTATAGAGTAAACAGTTATAGCTGTTAGTACATTCAATTGGCCAATAGTGACTGATACAATAGTATTGTGTCCTTGGGCAAGGCACTCCAGGCACTCTGGTTTTCTCCATCAACTCAAAAACATTTACAATAAGTCCAAGTCTAAAAACAAATTTCCCAAGGATATAATGAATTGTATTGTAAAATCCTACTCAAGATAGGTCCCTCCACTGATCCTGACAGGTTGCCCCAGCAGCACTGAATAATGGATCAAATGCACAAGACAAATTTCCGTACAGGGCCAATAAAGTGTATCTTAAGCTCCCTATCCACCATAAATATCTAACGCATCTGGAAAATGATTACGAAAGAAGAAAAACTGGTAGCTGTAGTGCTGTAGTAAGCACTTTAGTTTGTGATGTTAGAAAGATAAGTACTGTCTAAGAAAACATACAACATTTCTTTTAAATTTGTCCCAGTTACATTACTGTTTAAGAGTTTACAATATTTCTAAAATACGTTTAAAAGATAGTTGCACTGTTGAAGTAGTAAAAGACAATGTACTATGACTCAGTAATGCAATATCAATGAGACAAAATAGTGACTTAAAATATTTGAACAGAGCTTGTACTATATTATATTGCACTGTATATATCAAACACATCAAATACACAGAGAAAAAAGACTATCCTCACAAAACTCTATAGTCTAGTGCGAGTTTGCTGACACTGATGTATATTGTTGGATGTTTTACCCAAACACTGAGATCCTTTCTGCATTGTCAATACACAAACTGGTGATTGCTGTATAAAAGAGAGAAACAAATATTTATTTAACCTATCGTGACATGCGTTTCCCCGCATGCAGACAGATCTCCCTAAAAGTCCAGTCTGAAGATGGTGTCATGGCGGGCGCAGACCTCAGGCCCTCTCAGCGCGTCCGCAGCTTTGCTTTGTCCAAGTCTAAATAAACAGCTCCACCTCATAGCAGCAGGACCACCCAGCCTTCAACACCATCACAGGGAAAGAGTGAAATGACGGCTCTCAGTACTAAAGACATGTACTACGTATACTACATATATGTACTGCATATATATGTACTTATAGATGTCTCTTAAGCCAAGTACTCTGGCTGGCACAAATGTGTTCTGTAACTGTCTGTGCAGATTTTAGTACTATTATAGGAGCCAAGCAAAAAAAACAAACATAAGATAACATTTTTGGTCACTTAGGTCTTCCCAGCTTCTGAAAAAAAATCTGAATGGATTGTTATTTGGAGCCAGTCTATTTGCTTTACACAAACTGAAAGAATCAAATCAAGATGAAAAAAAAAAATTGTGTTGTGGGGTTGGCTCTCCAAAGATCTGGCCTGTAACTCCACAAAGCCATACTGCGGAACATTCCAGGCAAAGCTATAAAATCTCCTTGGATTCTGAGACAAGTTGCATACTGCACCTTTAATAACTCAACGGATGATAAAACTTATTGAGGCAGTTATGTTTACAGACCTTCAATATTGGCACTTTATAAAAAAAATAAAAAATAAAAATAAAAAAAGGAATGAAAGAAAGAAAGAATGAATCTTTTGTCTACCCTCACAGCCCTGCGCATGCAAATATGGTCATCAGTCTCGGTGTTTGACTGAACGACATACACATTTTGTAATTGCTCAAACAGTCAAAAAATGATACTGTACACTTCTCCAAAGACCTCGGGGACATCTGGACACACTTGAGCCCGACAGCGCGAGCCCTGTTTGGTTCTGGTCTTCATTAAAGTCGGTGCGACGCTGCTGACGGCCCTTTCACAGCTCATTACGCGCTGTCCAATCAGAGGCCTGCAGTGTGCGCCTGTTATTTACATTCAGAAGTGGAAATAGCAAAAGCCCAAACACTGGAACACTTTGCCACATTGTACAGTCACAAACGAGGCCAATCAGCACCGCCATATGTGCACTTCACCGAGTCATTATATGGTACTCTTCAAGGTATTAAAATAGCCCAAGCCCTCAACAGTGCTTAATTAAAAACGGTAATAGGCTAAACTATAGTAAGTTTGGATTACAAAAGCAGGATACCTTATACTCAAAGCATAGACTGTATATATACATCGAGATAGCTATCCCGCTAGCAGCAGTGTTCCAAATAAGGTGGCGCTTCCGGCTCCACTGATTCTGGCTACGATTGCCTTTTGGGGGCTGTAACTACTGCAGTGAGCCTGGTCTTAACTTTCAGTTTTTCTACATGATTCTGGTGTTTTTGTTTCGAAAGGTTAAGAAATGAAGAAGCCACCAAGACATCAACGTCAAAAATAAATTTATTTCAGAGTAATTATCAATATGATTACATTGATTCCATGCAAACTGGAAGTATGTAACAATTAGATATGTCAGTTGATAATACAGGCACTGTCCAGCAGGGGGCCTCAGTCACTTACAGTCGATATTTGTTTATTAATGGCGTTTTGAGACGAGAATCAGTCTAACCTCAGACCTGTGTATTAGTGGCAGCATTGTATCGTGTAAGGAATGTTTATGAGAGCTTTTGTTTGGTTGGTGAGATATTTAGGTTTTGTAATTTTCAAACGTTTTGAAATAGACAATTTAACACTACACACCACCACAAATCTGCTACAGAGCATGCACCGGCCATGCACAGGCAACAGAATTTTAATGGTGGTTAAAATTAAATAGTGCAAAATATTTAGAGATCAAAATCAGATAGTATCTCCTCAAAAACTAAATTGACCTTTTTTATTCAATTGAATATTTTATGAAACTTGTATGGATAGTTACTTCAATGATAACTTACTAGCACTTTTGATGGACACATAATGAGTTGCATTACAAGAATTATTGCACAGCACTATATATGCATTTAACACTGATCATGTCAAACACACAAGTAGGTAAACTACTGAATAGACATTTAACACCTAAGACAAACATCAATCACAGCACACACTACTGTACCACAGAATCAGAGAAGGACAGAACAATGACACACTACACACTCATGTGTATAAGAATATGAGATCAAAACAGGGATTTGATTCATGTTTGGTCCTAATTCCTGCTGCCTACACACTTTTCAGTCTTTGGCTTTCATTGAGCTTTTTTCATTTTTGTTTCATTTTATGGTTGTATGTGTGTTCTCTATTTGAAGCATAGTATAATATATATTTGGCTTTTAAGATATTATTAACTTAACTCGTGGGTTTGCACTGGTTCAGCCCACACACATGAGCTAATCTCTGTAGAGTGACAGGTAAAGCAGGAAGAATTCTACAGGCTGAAAGGATAAATATTGAGTTTACATGTTAAATGATTAGGCAATTCAAAAATAAAGGTGCTTTGAAAGAGAAGTTGTTCTCCAAATCACACATTTTCAAGGGATTTTAGTTATAAATCATAATTTCATAACAATGTATAACATTTTTACAATGATTTTGCTTCATCATTAATAAATATATAAACAAAACTGGACCAGGAATACATGGCGAGCTGCAAGGATCCCAACACCACAACTATATGGACTTCTGTTGATATCATAAACCCGCAAACACAACTTTACTATGCACACTACAATACACTGCTACCCCCTAGTGGCAGCATATAGAAGTGCAGTGCAGCCACACTACACAGTAAGATGTATGAAATGATGCTAGATAATTGGGCGAACCTCACAGATGTACAGCAAAGTGCAACATAAAACAGACGTAAACAGCAAGAAATACTTAGCTTCAGGGAAGTGCAGTAGTATTGCGCAGTTGACTTCCACTGAAGGCACTTTTATGGCACTAATAGTAATGCAAACTGGAAGATATCTTCTGCCCAATTATGAAGTAAAAAGAGATTGAGTATTTTGGGAAGTCTGTGTCCACAGCAGCCATATTCATGATACAGCAGTAAAGTGATTCAGCAAAAGTCAGTATTAGGTAAAAAGCTGCCTTTTCTAAGAGAACAATACCACCTCATGTGGCCAAAACACTGTGTCATTAATAATTATTACAATAACATTTTGTACAATAACGCATTCTAAGAATATGGTGTCAGATAATTTTGATTAATACATCAATGCAAATTGTGGATGTACCAATGCTTCAATGGAGGTTCCATTTAGTGTAGACACTTTAATAATTACCCTTTTGCAATAATGATTAAAATGCGTTCTATAATAGTCATTAAGAACACAGTGAGTAAGCAAGATGATGTTATTGCTTTAGCACAATATAATGCACTGGTAAAACTGATGCACAGCAACATTTAACTGATATCAGAAACACAGAGTAGCCTACACACAGGAGATGCATGTTACAGTAGAATACACTACATGACTTTGTGAGTGTTGTACTTATATATTGAGGCAGGTATAGATTATTATTATTAACCAGCTGATGGTGTGGTCTTATTGCTGATATGCAGAGCAGTTGCTACACAATGGCACAGCAGTTCAGTACAGCTCACAGAAACCTGACTGTGATCCAAAAGCTCCAGTCGGTCACTCCACCGCCATTTTCTCTATGTGCTCCGTCAGCAACTTGTACTGCTCTGCACACAGGATACATCACAGTGGTTTTAGTTTTAGATTTACAATATAGATGTATGTAATAAACTTAGTACTTAGAGAAAACACTGTACTTTTCATAGACACAAAACATATATATTTTGCTTAGGAAATTTTTTAAAGTAGAACAGAATTTTTTTTTCTCTAGAAGCAGTAGTAATAGTAGGTAGTCACAATATGATTTGTAGGAGAATAGTGAATAGTATGTAGTATTATTCATTATTAATACTTTAGCATTAGTAGTAAGTAAAAATAGTATCAGTAGTCTTTACTAATGCTTAATTATACTGTGTTTTTTTTTTTTTTACCTTCATTGAGATTTCCTATCACTGCCTGCTTCTTAAGGAAATCATTGCAGAGCTTCTTGCTTAGTCCAAATGCCAACATATTATGAGTGAATGTCCTAAGAGAATACAATTTTAAAATGCATAAAATTTGACAGAATATAAAGACAATAGTTATTGGTAATGTGGTAGTGCAGTTTGCAGGTGCTTACCCTAGCTGACCAAAAGCAATGTTCTCATCGATCTTGGAATTGTCGTCTCTCTCCTGCTGGCTCATGTGACACCACTTCTCTCTAAAGTACAAATGGGGCATGCATTATAACACAGGTCTGTACCTGACCTTCACTGGCCCATAGACACAGTGAACAAGCGTCAAGACCAAAAAAAGTTCTAAATATATCTCCAGCAATACACTGTGTTGCATCAGTGACACCAGTCCCTCAAGAGGATGAAGTCTGCGAATGGATGCAACTTGACCCACATGGAAAAAGACAGGCACAAAACACAACAACTAAATAATAACAACACCCACCACCAGAAATATTTTTAATTGGATGGGGAAAAAAAACTTTTCCAAAAATCTTTGGTCCATATGTAACCACTGACACGAGCAATGCATGACTGGTTTGAGAAAAAGAAAAAATAGCACATAGTGGACTTTATTCCTGACTAAATACACTTTAAGTGTTATAGTTGGACCCAGAATCCGTGCAGAGCCAACAGTAGGTGAGGTGTGAAGACCGCTGAGGTTAGGATCATGCTGCTGCAGCAGATGGAGAGATGAACATGCTGTGAGCCCAAAGACTTGGCTTCAAACTAACCAAAATTGTAAAGATTTATGGAAATCAAAGCTTTACAAGGTGCAGGAAATAAATAAAAGGAAGCAGCCTTGCAGTGAATCATATGACCGTAGAGACGACAACAACAACAAGAACATGCAAAGTCAGAGGACGCGACATCCCAACAGAAACACTGGTCTGGTATCCTGGCTCTCTGTAAATGGTGTGTGCACCCATTAAGGCTGGTAATTCAATTCTAGTCTGTCTCTTTGTAGGCAATCTCAAACTGTTGTGCAGCAGGAAGTTCGCCTGGGGAGTTATCCGAGCCCTATTCACTGAAGCACACACTGTGTTCTGGCTAAACCTGGAGCTAGGCCTGGTTTAACAGCACTGCTCTTCTCTCACACATGCAGTGCCCTGTTTGGAACATTAAGTCTCTCTGAGAGTTTCTTTTTGAGGGCAGCAGACATTTTGGACAGACCTCTCATTTTGATCCTGTGGTCCACTGCCCCGCAGCAAGGCACAAAAAACAAAGGGTTAAATCAGCATGCTCATAGAACAGAAGAGGCTAAGGAGAGAAGATTAGAGGAAGACATTTCCATTTCCTATAAATTAAGTTAAAAGTACTACATCATGTTCCGAGTGACGTGTGTGAAAAGGATTGAGCAATATTGACAAAAATTTATATCTCAGTTTTTTGTAGTATCCTGAGAAACAATATTCAGACCATTATGCCAATCTAATCGACATGTGTTAACACATGTTTTAAACATATGAGCTCAGATTTAAGACAAATGTGAAATGACTTAAAATTATTCCACTAAAGAGCAGACATACCCATTTATACCCTTATTTGGTTTACAACAATCTATTTTGTTCATGTTTATTTTTGATCATTATGGAGCATGTTGTATTATAAATTCTATTCTCAAAATTCACATTTTGCACATAATTAAAACAACACCAACATTACTATTGTTATTTTGATGATATGCCCACCTCTTGGTATGAATTTACAGTAGGGCTGCTCTTTGAATTTCATTAACCATATGTTATTAGCTTAAGTCAGGAAGCGTTGCCAAGGGATACTTAAAATTACATAAAAATACATTACATAACTATATTCTAATTTTGACAACAAATCAGTAGCTGATCTAACATAAATACTAATATTATGTACTCATTTAAAAGACAGCAATCACAAATATCTTTACAGTGTCTAAATGACAAATAATGTGCCCTATGTGGAGCCTCACCTGGTGGTTGGAGACCTCTTCTTCCTCTCACAGTGAACCGCATCAAAGAAGGCTGCATTCCAAAACCTTAGTGTGTGCCTGAGAAAAAAAATTAAAATAAATGAAAAAATAAAAAAATCTTTTATTTCAGTTTTTTAAAAATGCACCAGCTGTAAATACTGACAGCATCATTAGCTGGTTGTTTTGCTTTGGACCTTTGTGACTCACCAAATGGGCTGCTGCTTAAGATGGGTGTAAAGGTACACTTTATCCCCTTTCTTTTCTTCAGGAGCATCTGATACTGTGGGAAGCAATAACAATAATTATCAAGGTAATAACAGACATTGAAGAAAAAGGCAGACAAGTGTGGATCTGAAGTGAGTTGGACAAACTATACCTGGGGTTGTGGGCTTTTCCACTGGGCTTCCTCCATCCCTGAAGAGCAGCAGGAAAAAACACATTTTATAATCTTACTTTTGTAATGCAATGACTCCAACACCACGACTCTATTCATTACTCTTGTCTTGCACAAAATATGTTTCCACCCTGATGCACCCATAGACTGTAAAAAGAGTGGAAAGTGATTGTAATGTTACCCATAGCATTCAGCTCCAGTCAAATGAAGCTCATCAAGACTGGTAGCTATGGGGCGAATTTGGAGCAGAGTTACATATTAGGAATAGGAAATGATTTACGGACAAAATAGGGAAATAAAAGCACCAGGATCATGTAGAGAGGGTTAATACGAACATTTTAAGACCAAAATGAGGAGCCTGACAGCAGCAGCTACAAAGAGAGGGATAAAGTTCTAAACAACGTGAATTGGAACTAGAGCTGATGGACCCAGAAGTGTATATGCTTACTTCCTGTTTGGTGGGTTAGCTATACCCATTTATATATACAGCCCATGGATGCACCCTGTAAGTCTGGATTTAGGAAATCAATATTAAATGTTTCTATTTTATCTTAAAGAGTTGTTGCCATGGCCTTACTCAGGCTTGTTTGCCATGGAGCTCCTCAGTTTGCTCTCCAACCCTCCAAAAAAGCCTTTCACATCGGTCTTGGAGGTGGTCTTGAGCAGTCGCTCCGCTGCATCCTTTTTCCCGGTGAGCCACGAGTTTGCCTTGTTCAGATATGTGTCCAGGCCCACCGGAGGAGTCCCCCGTTCCAGCAGCTCTGATGGAGGCGGCTGGGCTTTTCCTGTTCAACCACAAGAAGCAGTGACAGATATTTCTTGATAAAAGGTAAATGGTCACATTTTTCTATAGTGCTTTTCCACATTCAAGGTGCTGAAAGCGCTTTACAACAAGGAACCACTCACCCATTTACACACATATTCATACACCAGAGTACGCAGACACTGGGGACAAGGTGGGTTAAGTGTCTTGCCCAAGGACACAATGACAGCAGGGAACTGGAATCACACTAACCAACCTGTGGGTCAGTGGATCTGACCACTCGACCCATGATGTTTATGCCAACCTTCAGATGAGTGGACGAACACTCTACCAACTGAGCTACTGCCGCCCATTCTTTATATATAATTAGATCAGACTGAAAAATAATAAGGTTTTTCAACTTGCCTCTTCCAAACCCATATCCTATATAAATATGCTCATGTTCCATAAAGTAAAATGTCTATATAAAAAAATGATCAAAAAGCTGGAAAAAGAGCTGATTAAAAACAAAAAACAAATGCATTTACATCACATTTAGTAGAAGATTACAGTGTTCATTGTTTATTGTGATTTTCTAAATCAATATACTGTACATCAAAGTTTGTTTATGTGACTTGCCTAATTACCATGACGACAGGGAGTTTCCTGCACAGACTAATATTATACAAACATAAGTCTCTGAACACCACAGGCATTGCATCTGAGTGTGAAATGAGGCTGCAAGAGTGACCACATGCCTGCTCAGTAAATCTAGGTCTGTATCAACTAAACACAGTCACTGGCTACATTTACATAGCCAGCAAAATTCAGATAACTACAATAATCATAATTAGATCAGGTTTTTGATTTGTGTTTACATGTGTCACTTAACTTTTCTACTTGGAAGACAAAGTACAATGCATTTTAAAATAACTGCAATCCATTATTCTCTTTTGTCATTAGTTTGGCCATTTTTACACAATTTTCCTTGTCAAAATATGTAGCGGATGTGAGAAACCAGAAAGAAATGACATTACTCCCATCAGAAGTAACTGTTTACATGACATTTCAATAATCAAATGAATCCCAAAATCCAATAAGGATCAGACTTTTAGTGTACTTGTAAACACAGCCATTCTATGCCACTGTATTCTAATACTGAAGGCAACTTGTGTTATTCAGGGTCAGAAAGTGCAAGTGAACTCACCAATGTAATAGAAGGTGAAACACATGGTCATGAGGTTTTTAGCTGGTGTGTAGTCATCCATCTGGTAACATCTACAAAACAAGACACAGTTAAGATCATTACATTTAAGACATTTACAACTTAACACACAATAAAATGTATTTGCCCAGGCTGTAAGTTTTTAGGTTTAAAATTGTACTTCCTGGATTAAAATCACAACAGCATGATAGGAAATTCCTTAACTGTTACCTGCAACCATGTAGTACACAGGGCCATGTACACAGAAATTTTTATCAAATAAAAATACAAGAAAACACCTAGATCTTGATTTACAACAACTATTATCCCACCAAATGAAATGAAGCCAAAATTTCAGAATCATAAAAACGCGCTATGAAATGAGCATTGAGCAGAGACTTACTCAAAAAGCACAACAGCAAAGGACTGCACCAGGCGGTAGAAGGTGGGTTCACTCACACATTTAGAGTGGCAGCGCTGAAAACACACAACAACACTTTTTATTTATGGAACAGGGAGCTTCACATTCATTTCCAGTACAAACTTGTTTATTTTGTGCACAATATAAAGTAGGTATAAAGCAGGTATTGGCAGACCTGTGCGCTGACGTATTTGGCAAACCACTCTCTCCCTTTGCCGTTCTCTCCAGTGCACAGCTCTCCAAAACGGGCCTTCTCCTCTTGGTCAAACTCCTCACTGCGAAAATACCATGTTTATGTGTGACTAAACATACAAAGAGCAAATGTATATACATGGCACACTATGTAATGGACTGAAGGATGTCAGTTTCTGTTATGTTGTGGTGTCCTAGAAAACATTGCCACAGGTGCTCTAGGGGAAATATCTTTGATCACAGCAGTCAGAACTCTATTTTTGTTGTATTTATTTATTTTTTTTAACCTAGAAATTTACAACAGACTTTAACCCTTTTGTCAGATCCATGCAATTCTGGCAATTTTTACACATACATGTTTATATACAAACAATGCATGAGAAAAATCCTATAAATTTTTTCTTACATTTAAATAACTATAGAGGCTCAAACTGATTTTTCTATTCTTTTTCCTGTTCATCTGCTCTGTCTCACATGTTTACATTCTTTTAATTATCTGAGGAGTTCAGTTGTATCATTATACCTTTTTAACTTACAAAACATATTCAAGTAAGAATTGAAAAATACTTGATTAAAAGAGCTTGCACTTACTTTCCATGGAAGATCTTGTCTACATAGGCCTTCATAAAGGTCCTCCTCTCCAGTGCATCAGGGTCAGCATCTTCTGCACTGTGATTGGACGATGAAGATGAGCGCCGTTCGTCCCACATGTGAGAAGGGGGGTCCATATCATTCTCACTGTCGGCAGACTCTGTAGCATCACTGTCCTCATTGTCATGGTGACGATGGTGGTGGGAGGATGCTTTTGTGGGGGCTAGGGGCTCAGGCAGACTGTCCTGGTGCAGCACCCTGGAGGAGGCTGGCTCTGGGGAAAAGATATCGCTGTGACCTTGGTTTTGTCCCCCATCCACAGTGAGAGAGTTGGACTCAGACGGTAAATCAAAGTCTATGAGGTTATCCACTGCCACTCCCTCCATAATGGACCAGAACGAGCTCTAGATCCTGGGAATGCTTCAGAAGATGTAACAGCGCCACAGCGTTGGGTGCAATGTTTACTTTGTCCCACTAGGAGGGATTGTGACTGCACAAATTTAGAGCCTCTGTAGCACCTGTAGACAGACAGCAACAAATGTTTGTTAGAAATGATGTTCATGTGATGGAGAATTATATGTGATATTAAATGTGATGATGTCCACACCATTACATACAACTGTATAATCCTTTATTTTGGAAGTTCTTGGATGCTATTGTGAGTTTTTTGTTTACTTTTATAAATCAGTAATCTAGTCATTCCCTTCCTATCATCTTCATTTGGCTGAACACATACAGCTGTCTCTTTTTGAGTCTAGTTGGAAACAGAGAAGGGTTTGTCTGCTTAGTTTAAAAGTAAAATATATAATATAGTTTTCTGAAGTGTTTTGGTGAGGGACACTTCCTGGCTTGATTTCCTTCTGTTCATATTTAGACAGAGTTGGGCCATTCTGCTTGCAAAAATGGTGACTGTTCCTTCTGTCAACTGTGATGCTTTTTTCATGCACTTCCTCTACAGTCTCAGATAGTTATTCATACTGTGCTGGATTAAATTGTCATTATTTTCTTCTATTCATTCTTCATCCACACATAAAAGTGCAAAAGTGTTGAAAAAATATGTTTTCCCTACAAACAAAATTTAATAGGGTGTTTTTTCTGCTGCTTATCCGGAGTAAAAGAATGTGAACAGACCAGGGGCTGGTCCTGGACTCATTGATAAGTGCTTCCTGAAAGGATGTTCTGTTTTTCCTCCAACTTCAAGGGGCAACTTTATTTGTTCTATAACTGCAAATGTCTTTCATTGTGCACTGGACAAAATGTCTTACTAATACTTTATCACTGAACTAATAAGTTCAGTGATTATAACTTGTTCCTCTGTGGAACACTTCCGGTTAACAGACTGAGAACAACACACAGGGCATGCAGCGTTTCTTTTTGCTCATATAGCATGTCCCAGTAATTTAACCAATACAATTTGGGCCATCTTGAATCTTACATTTGCCCTGTTCATTCTATTGCATGGACTGAAATACAAAAATATGGTAAGTACAAACATTTATGTTACAATCGATCAGATTCAATAGTTTACAATTTGATATCAACATTTGATTTTAAGAAACATACTATAACAAAAGTCCTACATTTTAAATACTCGTCAGCTTTTCTATATGCAATCATCATTGCTAAAAAGTCACATTTCCTTCACACCAAACCCTTTCTCGTGTTTCAATCACCACATTAAAATGACATCATGGCACGTTGTCCGGGGCTCATTATTGTACTCTGGCTTTCATCTCAGAATAAACAGGAAGTCCAAGTCATTGATTAAACACTACAAAAGGGGGAGATTCCAGTCACAAACCTCTGATGCAGCTCCCAGAGGTAGATGAGATGTGCTCTTCCATAGACACTCCTCTGTCAGAGTGTTGCTAAATAAAACCTGGGTCTATCACCCTGCGGTACTGCTACCTCCCACACACTCCTGAGTGAATCCACACTCTAAATATTACCTTAACTGTGATAACGATGAGTTTTAAATTCAGTCAGTTGTTGCACATACAGTACTTTTGGGCCTGAGTTTCACACCAAAATAATACAACAAGGACTACATTGAAAAATCTCCAAGATGCTGGTCAGCCCCGAATTGTATTCACGACATTCTTGATGCGAGGTGTGCTAAACACTCTTGCACTGAGTAGCTAGGCTTCAGATGACACCACAACATACTATAGGCCAATAATATTTAAAAGGTGCATTGTGTAACTTTTCTGTTGGAGGGTCTGTCAAATACTTTTCTCCATGGAGATGTTATTGCTTTGTCTAGGATGTTTCACAGGATGGTATTAAATCTTTTCCAATCCAGTCCAAACCAGACCACATTACAGGTCAGATCTGTGGAGAGGCAATCCCTCTCACAGTCAGAATTCTTGTTTTTCTAGGTATTTTTGAGCTGCATGAACATGTGTAATTTAATAAATGTAAAGTAGAGCTATTTAATGTCATATTGGGGAACATTCTAGGCAGAGCAATGACATATCCATAAAAACAAGCAGGTGATGGACCTCCAGAAGAGTTACCCAATGCACCTTTAATATAGATGATAGCAGCTAAAATATTGTTCAAATGTGGGATTGTGTTGTAGAACAGTGAGTTCTTGGGTCTAGACACTAATAGAAATGATCAACGTTCAACATTTGTGAATTTACCTGACTTGAATTTACCTTTTGCACATTTCATGGCAAAGTAAAATGGAATCACTAGAAAAATCTGTCTCTTTCCACCCATCTGAAAGTATGACATTATCATAGTCGAGAATCTGAAAAACTAAAATATGCTCTAGAAAGGAAAAGCCAAATGGAAAGAGGATACAGAGAGAGAATTTGCATTTGGTGATAAGTCAACAAAAGAACTTCATTTGTTCTTAGCTAAAGCATTCACATAATAAGACATATTTTCTCATAAATGACAGTACAAGGCCAAGCTTTTCTCAAACTGACGCGTGCTAATAAGCTAAAACCCTACCATGACAGAGCAGACCACCAGCTCCCGAGGCACAGCTCTGCAGATTATGTAACACACTTCTGGGTATGACTGCAGCTGACACTTTCACAAACACATTACATAAGGTTCGAAAAAGTCAAGTCAACCACAAATTCTCTAAACTATAAAGATGTTTAAGATGAGATGAGGTACACATGTTGTATGATTGAAAGCCTAAAGAACATACACAAAGTAGAAACTGCAGTTCAATAGAGCTTAGAGTTTAGTGCAAGGGGGAATAAAGTATACATCCTGATAGGTGTCTCTGAAAAATGTGAAATTACCCACAAAAGAAATATCATCTTATAGCTTTATTTGGGCATTTATGTTTTTATCCATGTTTCTTTTACTATAAATGATGTATCCAATATTCAAATTTAGTGTTACTTCAAAGCAACTTTCACAATATTATCCCTATTACATTATATTGCCCAGCTCTAGTTTAGACTATTAGGTGCATGAGTGATAGCAGTAGTGGTACAGTCACCTCTGGAGATTGATGCCATTAGCTCTGATTAATGTCCCCTGTCCACTTAGTCGGACTGCAGCATCACAGAAACACACAGATTTCAATATCCATAGTCAGGACTTTGTAACTCACCTTATGCCTGCAAATCCATACTGATTCCATACATCACTAATTATCTCTTCCCTTAAAACCATATATTTTTTATGTAATATCAATTTAGGTGGGATCATGTATTACAACAAAATATACAATGATAAAATAACAAAAATCTCCCCACTCTTGCATGAATAAATAAATATTGAGTTCCAAAATATATTGTTCCTATATACTAAACGATAAGTCAATAAAGTAAATACTGTGACAGGCCTATTTAAAGGGTTTAGATCAGAAACATTACAACATTGATTGCTCTCAGTCAACAAATTAAAAATGACTAGCTATCAGAGGACACACAAATCAGATTAAATGAAAGACAAAAAAACCAACTGTATACGGCTATAAATCCGCTATTTAAAAAAGACCACTCTTCAATATGTAATCCACACAGCAGCAGCAGAGGTTCAATAAATCAGTGTGTCAGTCAAAAAGCTGTGGCTGCAGTATTTCTGCTTCCCTGAGCAGCACAGAGGGAGCACACACCTCTACCAAGCACACCATCCTACATTGTTAATGTCCTCTTACAACATTGGCAGTGAGAATTCAAATTTTTCACTACACTGTGAGCATCACCATAGCAGCAGATAAACAAATGAACTACTATTAGGAAGGACTAGCTTTAACTAAAATAGAAATAACTCATGCTTTGAACATTAGTGGATATAAAAGTGAAGTATTTTCAGTTTGTGGGACCATAATAAAAGTGGAGTAAACAACTTGGAGCACTGCAGGTTTAACACGCACAGCGCAGAGTAACAGCAGAGTGTTACGGATATAGCTACTGCCTTAAAAAAGTATAACAGCTCTTCTTTGTTTAATCCTTACTTAACTGAAAACAATAAAGAGACACTGTTCTTCTCCTTTTCTATCACAAGGACCATATAACTCTAAGTTGTATTAGATAACATTCAGGTCAATGTTATGATAATCCTTTTCTTTATTTATCAACTCTTATTATGGCCTTTTCAAAGGTTTAATATTGTAGACGATAAACTATTTTGATGTTATCCATTTTACACATGTGCCACTTCTTGCAAAATCACAATTTTTCATAACAATAGTAAAATGAATTATTTAATTATTTACTTAATGAATGGCATATGTATCATCTACAGGGCTTGCTTTTGCTGCTCTGTCTGCTGCATCGCAGAACCCGCCCTCTCTCTGTGATTCACATATTATACAATATGCCCCCAGCCTCCCACCTCCGGCAGAATTATTCGTCCCAGTTCAGTCAGTCAAATAAATAATGCTGCATCACATCTGTGTCAGTCGACTATGTATTACCAGAGTCACATCAATCTGGCCACTGCAGATGGATCAAAGGTACCAAAGGTAAATCAACCCCCAACCCCACTTCCCAAAAAATACCATCTTAACAAAAGCACTAGTGTCCAAGTAAGCTGATACAAGTATTTTATCTCACAATGCAAGCAGCAGCAAGTTGATAATATTACCGTGCATGCTAAATAGGTCCAGTTGAATTACAATATATTATAGAAACTTGAGATGAGGCAGATATCCTTTAAGGTAAAATGTAAAGTGAAACAAAAGTCCAAGATGTGTTGATTTATAACTCATATCTGACACGACAAGATTTACACAGTGCAAGTAATTCTGAACAATAATCTAATCTGTTTGATACAGTAAAAAGTTTAGAGAGGTTGTAAAAATGAATTATTATGCTGCAGTTCTTTGTATTAAAAGAAAAAAAAATTGCACCTTGTCCCATAATTTCTAGGAACATATACACTTTTTAATATGGAAAATAAAGTTCTCACTCAAATACTGAGCAAACCTGCTTTTGTCTTAAGACCTGAAGACAAGTAAAACAATACAGGCAGAACTACATGATGCCACAGTTACAGTGTGTGGCCAAGTGGCTGATGGGAGATAAGAGTCCTTGTTGGAAAAGGCCACTGGCTGAGTGTGTGATAGTGGTCATAGTGCACCTGCTATTCACAGAAACACTAACCACACCACACCTCATTATCACTGAACATGTTTATAATGGAGCCCTGGGGAACACATTTGCGTCCAATCAGTTTCACATACAACTGGGCTGCAAAGGTCACACAAAGGTCACCGAGGATAGGATCAATACTGATATCTTACTCCCTCTAATGTTAGCAAAACTGAAAAATCTGTTAAAATAAATTATGTGATTTTATTGGACATGAGCTGGAAGATGACCACCCTCCCAACTGGTGGAGGTGAAGGCCTGGAGAATTAAATGAAATTTTATAAAACTCCTCTATAATAAACATGTTGTAAAAGCCCTGTTGACAAGTGAACCTAATCTCAACTGTCTCCTAAAAACAATCCAACGGAGGACAGTGCAATAAACATTGTCACTGTGGCAACAGAGGAGCCAAAAGTCAAATGAGAAACGACTGCTATAAAGTCAGGAACACTTCCATCCCTGTGCACTTAGAGATAGCGCTATAACCACACACAGTAGTTCGGCCAAAACAAATGACAAAAGTACAATACCCTGCAACACACACGGAATGAGTGATAATTATACGCTTAGTCAAGATGACATACATACTATACTATAAGGGCCTTTCTGTTTCTAATAGTAGGCTAAGTAATCAACATAACAATATTCAGTGCTGATATTTAATTAGTTTTGGAACAGACTTGGTCAGTGGCTCTCAAACTGCGCTTGTCCGGTGGCGCAGGTTAGAGCACGCAGCAGCCGTGTGCACTTGACAGCTGAGAGGAAACAGTGCTGAGTAAACACGGCATGCGCTGACGTTTCCTGAATGCATTATGACGCGAGGAACGTGACCGTGAAAACATTTTCAGGTTAGGAATACCCCTGAACAGGCATGTAGGCTGTTTACATTGGAGCAGCAGTGAATAGTCTGGCATCTACGTGTACAGTGGCTTCTTAGTACATGAACATTACCTGAGATGGCGCTCACACCCTCTCCATTCAAATGATCAGTCATGTAGTCATTTAAAGTACCTGCATGGAGTCCAAATGCGCAGCGCGCGGTGAAGCAGGAGCAAGCGTGCGTACCCGAGCGTCCTGTGATGCGAGAAGAAGGGGACAGTGGCACCTCCGGACTGAAAACCGTGCGTCGTCGTAGGTCTTCTCTGGGCTTCACACTGGACCGAACAGAAGCTACGCATGCGCCGCTACAGGAAAACACGACGTGGGGGGGAACCCAATGACGCAGAGGGCAGCACAACCAATCAGCTTGACAGAGACTACGTCGTTGCGAACTGCCCGCTGTAGCACTGCCCCAGGGATGTCTACAAAGTGAAGATTCGAAGAAAATATCCTCCAGCTCAAAGATGCGTAGGGGTAAGTTTTTTTCTGACAAGGATCCTCTCTTTTTGCAGGATTTGATCTCATGTTTAAAGATGCACTGTCATTTTTCAGGTGGAGGGTACGTTCCCAAAGCCCCCTTCGGACACAATAGGGATAGAGCAGGAACACGTATACTTCAGCAATTACAAAGTTGCTACAACATCATTGTTCTTTATTGGGTGTTGAAATCACACACGTGTGTGATTTTGCTGTGGTAGTGGTTTTGCAAATACATTTTATTGTACATTGCGTAGAAAAATAAACTTCAAACCTGTCGCAAAACAGAAATACAGTACTGATTGTAAAATCAGTGGACCCAGTAATCAATCAGTAGTTTTTTCTGCTGCAGCTGCCAGCTCCTGTAGTTTCTGGGGGAGCGTGTTGGTGATGAAATGCACGCGATGGCTCCTCAGTTTGTGTTTGACAGTGTGCGTGAGGCTCAGCTCCATGTAGGCCTGCTGCTGCTGGTCGTATTGAGGCCAGCTGGGCAGATCTGGCCCATTTGGAGACCTAAGGACACAAATGTCAAGTCAGTTTGTGGTGTTTTGAGAGAGAGAGAGAGAGAGAGAGAGAGAGAGAGAGAGAGAGAGAGAGAGAGAGAGAGAGAGAGAGAGAGAGAGAGAGAGAGAAGGCCTGGCTCTCAGTTTCTGCTCTAATTCATCTCAAAGGTGTTCTATCGGGTATGAGGTCAGGATTCTGTGCAGGACAGTCAAGTTCATCCACACTAAACTCTCTCATCCCTGCCTTTATGCACCTTACTTTTGTGCACAGGTGCAGGAAAGTGTGAAAAAGAAGATCACCAAACATCTCCCACAAAGTTGGGAGCATGGAATTATCCAAAATCATTCAAAATCATCAAGCATTCAGAGTTCCTTTCATTGGACCTAAGGGGCCAGGCCCACCTCCTGAAAAGCAACCCCACATGATAATCCCCTCTCTACCAAACTTTACACTTGGGACAATACAGTCAAACGGTTCTCCTGGCAACCACCACATCTAGACTTGACCATCAGATTGCCAGATGGAGAAGTGTGATTCATCACTCCACACAACTCACTTGGTGACTCACTACACTTGGTGATGTATGGCTTGGATGCAGCTGCTCGGGCATGGAAACCCATTCCATGAAGCTCTGTATACACTGTTCTTGAGCTGAAGTCCACATGAAGTTTGGAGGTCTGTAACAATTGACTTTGTCATTCCCAATCGCTTCCACTTTGTTATAATACCACTGACAGTTGACTGTGGAATATTTAGGAGCGAAGAAACTTCACGATTGGATTTGATGCACATCTGGCATCCTATCACAGTACCACACTGGAATTCACTGAGCTCCTGACAGCAACCCATTCTTTCACAAACGTTTGTAGAAACAGTCTGCATGCCGAGGGGCTAGATTTTATACACCTGTGGTCATGGAAGTGACTGGAACACCTGATTTTGATTATTATTATATTATTATTATTATATATTGAGCGATATTGAGCTTTGGGCAACTCACCCAGTTCGTGCAAAATTGGCCCAATAGGACATTATGTTTCTACAAAGAGTCTCCTCTTCTTCAGTAAAATTACCTGTATTTTGAATGAAAAGCAAAAATCTATTAATTCAATTGTTAATCACAGTATTCGAGGGGCAAACAAATGTACATTTACCAATGACTTTAATGTTTGCATTCCAGAAACATGCCCCAAAGACAAAACCCACATCGTCTGCATGATCTGCCTTCACAAAACTTGGTCTGGAGTCTTTGAAAAGCTCGGCACGATATGCAAACTCATACAAATACACTGGAACTGCAGCATCTGAAGAAGCAGACAGGCAGTCATATGACCCAGACAAGCAATAACAGGATGGGTCTACTCACATATGGTAGGCGAAATAGGTCCTTACCTGAGAGGTACCCAGCCATCCCCACCACAGGCACAGTCATGAGCAGGTCACCAATCACCTCAGTGAACCTGTCCCGCACAAGCTCAGGAGTGTTGGCATCTCTCAAGTACTCATCTGCAATCAGGCTGTTAGCAAAGGATGCCTACAACATATGAGATACTCTTTATCGTACTATTTGGGTCAGTTTTGTTGATTATGTATTGTGCTAATTGTCACTATATGCAAAGTGAAGTCTGATTGATGAGGCTCACCCCAGCAGGATTGAACATGTTTATGACTGACATAACAGCCTCCCTGCTCATGCCCTGCTCCCAGCCAGGAGGACCAAATGCCTTCAAGAGATCATATACAGTTTTACAGTTTTAAAGAATCAGTTTTTACTTATGGTTCTATCTGTATTGGCATGTGTTACCTGAGGCAGGATCCATCCAAACTCGTGATTAGTAATGCCCAATATCACAGGGATTTTCATCACCTCCTTTTTTTTCAGCAGCTCCTCAGCTGTGTTAGTGAGAAACTCACCATCTACTACAGCCCCCAGGTAAATCTGCATCTGTACACAAGTATCATAGCAAGACTGTGTGGCACTATAGTGCCACTGTGTGGCTGAGGCATGGCACTGCACTCACTATATATATATATATATATATATATATATATATATATATATATATATATATATATATATACATACCATTTTTGCTGTAGCCACTAACTGTTCTTTGGTCATCGCTTTGATACAACCCACCATCTCCTCTGTGGTACTCCGGGAGCATCCCGTTAGGTTGGCAATAATCTGGAGCAGATAAGTTAAAACAGGTTTTATAATATGCTAGTTGGTTTTGAAAACACATCTAATGTCACTTAAGGTCTTACTTATTAAGTTATTGTAAAACGGTGTCCATAAATGTTCAGTACCTTAGCATGGCTCAAAGGATTGTTTGTGGTGTAGCTACCCAGTGTTGCCACCCCACTCTGAAAAATGGCTTTCTGGAAGAGGCCTTTGGCGAGTGGAGATAGAGTCTGTTAAACACAAGCACAAATTCAGTGTAAATAACTGCAGTGTAATTACTGTTTGAGTGCTGCACTTTACCAGTATAGAAGCACTAATGCCTCCTGCAGACTCCCCAGCAATAGTCACACTCTGAGGGTCTCCACCAAAAACCTCGATGTTGTCCTGCACCCAGCGCAGTGCCATGAGCTGGTCCAGGAAGCCCCAGTTCCCCTGTGCATGCTTGTCTCCAGTGCTCCATAATTACAGTAGTTTACATTAGAATCATTGGATTTGACTAAATTTTTTAACTGCAACTGTTAATCCTTACCTAAAGTATCCCAGAAGGCCAAGGCGGTATTGGATAATGACTACCACCACATTTTCATAAGCAGCCAATGAGGAGCCATCGTACTGGGATGCCGCCCCTACAGTGAGACCACCTCCATGGATCCACAGCAGCACCTGAAAGACACACAGGGTTAGAATGAAACATGCATCACCCACACTGAGGAAGAATTTATTTATTACAACTGCTTGTTTGATCATTAAACAAAGAGAATACATGAACTCTATACAGACGCACTGGCAGCTTGTCCCCTTGTGCTGCTCCTTCTGGAGTGAACACATTCAGATACAGGCAGTCTTCAGAGATATCCGGGGTGTCGAAGTGAATGGCCATGGTCTTTGAAACATTGACCATTATCTGTGGATCCTGGATGCACCTGCCAACATAGACAATAGGATAATTGTTGTAACATAAACCACTGCAGGCTTGAAAACACTGTTCTACATAGGTGGCTGTGTGGTGCAGTCCTTCTCTCCATCCCAGGGCTGTGCTTCCTGCGGAGCCTCCAGGCGCAAGGGTCCCACTGGTGGCTGGGCAAAAGGGATCCCCAGGTACTGCCGCACTCTCCTGTATGTTCCTTTCACTGTCAGTACTTCTCCTCGAATACGCCCATTCTTCAGGGACAGCACAGGGTCAGTGCTCCTGGCTGCAGATTATATGGTCATACACACAATACCACAGGGAGTCAGTGTTTTCAGGCTAAGGTAATATCAGCAAACCAGCACAGATACATGAAATTAGCTACCACAAGGCCAGTAAGTTAAGTGCAGTAAATTCTGTGCTGTGAGGCAAACAGGCATTCCAACATATCAATCATATCATATCGTACTTCTCAATATGCTCTCCCAGTTCCCAGTACCTTAATATTAGTATGAAATCTTTCTTACTTGGTCCTCCTTGAGCTAGACTCCATACAGACAGCAAAGAAAGCAGGACCAGTGCAGCTCTCATCCTGGCTGTCCTGAGCATGCAGTGTATTATGCTCTTTCAGAGAATATGGCTGTTTCCCTCCCACTCCAGTGTCATGTACTTTCAACTCTCCATGAGACCTTACACTGTTATGTGAAGTCCCTATTTAAATATGACCTATTGATTCCCTCTTCACTGAACTCTGACCACTGTTACAAAACTGTTTTCTATCACCCCTTCTTCTACATTAGTTATATGTCACACTATATTGATTTTATCCACCTAAGATGTCATCTATGTTTCTGGCATCAGTTAATATATTGTAGAAGAATAATCAGTAGGGTAATTGTGATTCAGCAGTATGTTGAATGAACAATGGATATTTTACACTTTGCAAGATAATTTCAAAAATGACAAGACACAGCCACAAATGTGTCCTCCCACACAGATCAGGTTTGCCAACACTGTTTACTTTTCAATAATCAGTAAAAAATGTGTGTTTGTCAAGTGTGTTCTGCTCAACATTTACTTCAATGCTAAGCGGTAGCCTAAATAAATAATAACTACAGCTACAAAAAAAACTGTCTCCATGTGCTGCAAAATAGCCAGTGATTTTTATTGTCAAATGACAGGTGAACTGAAGTAAGAACTGACATTCTGCAAATCACAAAAGAAAATTGCAGTCTACATAGAAGTATTAATTTTTCTGGAAAGGTTCACAGAATGGTATTAAAATATCTCCATGATAAGCATGTTTTTCAAGGCATAATTTTGTTCAACAATATATACACCTGTAATGAATTAATGTACAATGGGTAAGTGTGCCATACTGTGGAACATTCAAGGCAAAAACAGGTCTGACAGATACTGATACAGGCTGACAGAATGGTGATGGAGAACCAACCAGCCATAGTGGTGGTGGATAAGCAAGAGAACAAAGCCGTGGTAGTGGACATTGCGAAACCAAGCGATGGTAATATTAGGAAAAAGAAAAATGAGAAACTAGAGAAATACTAGGCGCTCAAGGAAGAGCTGGAGAAGGCCTGGAAGGTGGTGCCCATGGTGATTGAAGCACTCTGGACTGCAACACCCAAACTGGAGGAGTGGCTACAGCCAATACCAGGAGAGACAACAGACATCTCAGTCCAGAAAAGTGCAGTACTAGGAACAGTTATTATATATTATTATATATTTATATATGTGTGTGTGTATTGCTCTGTGGTTTTAATTTATTAATGTGAAAAGAAAAAGCAAACTCTATTTTCTACTATAAATGTAATATTTTTTATTACTGTGCATCAGGTATGAATAAAACAAAATAACAATTTTGTGTAATTATACAGTTATATAGTATATATGTATATGAACCGGTTACACTAGTGCACCTTTAGTTTTGATGAGAGCTTAAAAGATCACTCCTTTTGTCTGCAGCCCAAAGAACTGCATAGCTCTGATCTGCAACAATGTGAGCTGCTATGAATCATATCAGCATTTCAGGAGGTTAGATCTACTGTTGGGAAACAGTATGGCCCTAAAAGATTTTCTATTGGATGTCGATATACTGTTATATCACTAGATGGTGCCATTGAGCTGATTTTGATGAGATACACACTTGAGGAGAGGCAGTTGCTTTGCATGAATGTGTGAGGCATTTTGTCTTTTTAGTAATACACTTTAATGAATCCACTTATAGGTTTCAGCTTTACGGAAACCACCTATCACAGTATATATAGTACTATAATCATTACAACCAGAGAAAAAGAAGGAACTATCAATAAATGAAGAATACGCTCTTTTCACGTGGCTTTATATAAAAACCTAGTAGGCTAAATTAAAACAATATCGATTTAGAATAGGATTAAGCATGCCATCGTAACCTAAATGAAGTGTATCAAAACCAGCGCAAACAAAAATACATGACAGCTGGAGAGGGCAAAACATTTATTTACCTGCTGATTTGTACTTTTTTTTTTTTTTTTTTGATAACCACGAGCTACTTGTTGTTTCTGTACTGTATTTGCCAGCTTGTTTCAAGGTTCAGTGCGAGCCAATGGGAGGTAAGTGCGCTGCCTTGAGTCATACGTAAGGGGCGTGGTGGAGGCGCGCGTGCTGCTGTGTAGTAAACGGAGGACAGTGTAGCGCTCGAACTCCACCGAGACTGTGCCCGGTTCATCCGCGGAGCAGGCAGACAAGGGGGCGGAACGGACACGGGAAACTTGACAGAGAACACCGCTAGGACCCCGCTGACACTCGGATTGCTCGGACTTTTACGGCGATTCTGTTGATCCAAGACAACGACTAATTGACCGACGAGCTAGCACTGGTCTGAGGCGAGTCCAGCGAAAGAATATCGTGAATAGAGTGGCACGAATGCTTTTTTCTAAGTGAAGTGGCCAGAGCAAAGTAAGTGGACTCTGAAGTAGGACCTAGACTGAACCAGGACAGCGCGGAGGCTTGTCACGCAGAGAGAGAGCCTGGTTCGAGGCAGAAATTCCCAGAGTGCAGCGGCGGGTCATGCGGCTTGCTCTGATCGGTGGACGGAGCGCCGCGACGCGTCAGTGAACGGTGAAGAAGAAGACGAAAGGACTGTCCTCTACCGTGCTGTCCCGTCAGTCCACATCGGGCTTGGAAAGAAGCTACAGACCCTGCCATGTCTCGCAGGAAGCAAAGCAAACCCCGGCAGATTAAGAGTAAGAACCCAAAGTTTTGGCTCAGTTTGGTTTGATGATTCCAGTCTTCGTGCGTTTCCCCCTTGTGCGCTCTGGGAGATCCGCGTGCTTTGAGCGTCCATGCTGTCACTTAAGGGCCTGTTTAGTTCACGAGTTCAAACTGATGTTGGAGTGGAATCAGCTGGACTTGATATAGACCTATTGATGTGTGTCTCCATCTTTAAACACGGTCTTAGGGCTGAAACTAGGCTACTTTTAGTTTTGTGCCGTTTTTTCACATACAGGTTACTTACATCCCATCCCCACTTTAAAGCCATTAAATAGACCTAGACCTATTTACACTAAACACTGAATCCCACATTCATAATTATATTGTGTAGGCTAAACATTCTTAAGCTTATCAAAAGTTTCCATATTGGCGTTGTGTCCATTGGCGCAACAGCAGCTGTGACTGTGGCTTCCTGTTTAATTCTGTTGTGGAAACGTCAGTGTTCTCTGAAAAAGGCGATGTGAACACAGATAAGCAGCGATCCGATGTAGGCACTGATAAAGATGAAAATTGGATGTGTTTTATTTGTTTTGTGTGAGGCAGCGGCGTCGTGGCGTTCCTTCCCCCGTGGCTTTTCACTTCTCTTTTCCACTGATGGGGCGTCAGATAAGACCTGGCCGATCACTCCCGCTGATAGCCGCTCACAATTGGATCTTTTTTCATCTATCCTTTTAACTCAATAATGCATCTTATAGGCCGCCTTGAAAGGCCCTTTTCTTGCTTAGGCGTTTGGCTGACTCTGTGCCGGCTGCTTCCTGTTTATAAAACGTGTGAAGGTTTATCGCGGGTGACTGATGTTCAAGTTTTGCTGAAGCATATTAATGATGTGATGCACCGAATTCCCGGGTCTGTTCAGGTCTGTGGTTCTGAATGTTGGTCCCAATGGGCTTGCTTAAACGGCGCTGTGCTGCCTGTTCCCTCAGTTAATAATAATAACATGTTATCTGTGATTGCTCAACTGCGTGTTCTCAAACCTCAAGTTTAAGCCACATAGACTTGAATAATGTGATTTCTTTTATCACATGCAATTCATATTCTAGTGTCTCTAGTCAAGCCTGACTCCATTTGAGACTGAGATGCAGGTAGAGATAAAAAAAAAAAAAAAAGACTGTAGATTATGCCGTTGTGAAATATTTGATTGCCAAATGAAAGAGTGAATAAATAGGCCTAGTTAAAGTTAAAAAAAAAAAAAAAAAAAAAAAGGAATGTGTCATTGGTTGATCATCACTGCAACCACCATTTGACCCCAACTGTGTTTATTAACTTTGAGACAGTCATTCAGATATAGATAATATGGCCAAACATATTCAGTAAATGTGTAAAGACATAGCCTACATTGTCAATTTCAGTGATTTTTGTAAAGGACAGCCTATTATTATGGGTCCCTAAGCAATAAGTTACAGAGTTTATGTTATTAGTATATATTTTTTTATTTATTTTTTTTTTTTTGTGATTTATTGTTTGGATTTTAGTTGTATACATTATCAGATAACTGGCATAATGTGTCGTCTTTAGAAATTATTATACTGACAGTAGCTTCTACCTATGACCTATGTCTACATAGCTTACATGATTCATTTACAACTTCCAGTAACAGTTCCTTGAAGGACAATGAAAGGGAAATGGCAGAGCTGAATACAAACTATAAAGTGTTGTGTTCTTTTATATATTTTTTATTAACAGTAATGGTTCATAAAATGGTAAGGTTTAATAATAACCCTATAAGTACCCTGTAAGTAGTTGGCTGTTGGTTAGAAATTAGTTTAGATTGATAGATGTCTTAGTGTAGTGCGTTCCTATCTATTTCCACAGAGAGGCCTATCAGCTGTGAAGTCCCTTCAGACAGCTCTGGTGCAGGCAGCAGCAGATCCAGACCTGGGCTTGATAAACTGACTGTGTCCGTCCATGTGGGGGTCTCAGGGGTGTCATGGTGCCTTTATCTGCTCTCCTGGTCCACCTTCACATTCAGCCTGGCACCAGGACCCACTGTAGACCGGACCAGACTTCAGCCCTGTGACTCTCTCGTGATTTGGCAGACATTTTGATAGAAGAGAGTAAAGAGTGATAAGAGGCTAGGGGTATGTAGGTCTGGCACCACCACCGTCAGGACTAATAAGCCCACCATCTTTCGGCACAATGGGTATTTTTTCTCTTGTGCTGTTGCTTTCATACAGTATAAACAAACTAGTCTCCCAGAAGAAAAAAAAACATTTACTTTTTTTTTCTTTCTTTACAGCCGCCATAAAGTACAAACTAAACTGCTACCTCCTTTATTAATCTTGATGAGTAATGCATCGCAATAAAATCAACACAATAAAATAGACTTATCTAATGATACACTAGCAAGCCAGTATTGTTCTCTCATAATCATTAATAACAACTCTATTAATACTACAAAAAGTAATATAAAGCGTAAACAAACTCTGGGGCTTGACCTGAAAGAACTTCTTGAACTACACAGTGGACAGAGTATGAGGAGCAGTCTTACAACAATGGCTGAAGTCCAGAGCTTTTTGGTGGCCTGCATGGAGGAGCATAAGGTTTATTTGTGCAGCACATAGATATTTGTCTGTGTCTTTGTGCGTCATCCTTCCAACAGTTGGAGATCTCCCAGCCTGATAAGAGCACTCTCCTTGATGGTGAGATAGCAGCAGGCGGCCCACGAGGCTGCTTCCCGGGCTTATATTTTGGCGGTTGAGATGGGAGACTTGATAAAACGTGGCGGCGATCGGTAAGGCTGATAAGGAGGGAGGGAGGGGGGCTAGATGGAGCAAGAGATGGAGCGTGGAGGGCACTTTAATTACACTGTGTTGTTGTTAGCGGTTGGTGACTGACAGATGATTACAATTATGGTGGATACAGAGTAAAAACAAGCGTCTCGATTACCTATTCAAGGGATAGCATTAGCTTTGTTTGGTATTGCTTTGAGCTAACTTACCTTCAGCCTGGAGTTTCTTGTCTCTGCGGCAGTTTTGTTGTCCTAAAGTTGGGCGAGGCTCTTTAGATCTCAAATAGATTTGTCATGTGATTTTTTTAGGTGATTATCTGATTGGGGCAGTTTCCAGACACTTGAAGAGTTATATGGGGTCACTAACAAAAATGCAGTAATTTGAACTTTCTTACTGCTTTGTTGATTTTATACATGAAAGTATTTCTGCTATGCAATTTAGTTGTGCGGAAAATACAATAAGCTCTTAGGTAAACAGCAGCAGGCATAGCAGTGTGCAATGTGATGTGTTTAAATGGCAGCCGAGGAGCCCCACCCCTCACAGAGAGATGTGGGCCGATAGTGAGGCCTGCTGATGGGAGAGAGATAAGCTCGCTGCAGATGCACAGGGCTGATAGGGCCTCTGTGTGTGTGTGTGTGTGTGTGTGTATATGTCTGAGTGTGTGTCTGTGTGTGTTGGTCCTATGACTTCAGAAGTGCAGCTCAGAGGTCAGCATGAATAATGAGCTGCCTCCCACGACTTAAAGCAAACCAGGACGCCTGCAGAGGCCAGACAAGGAAGTCCCATTGACCTCTTCAGACACTCCTCCTCCTCCTGCTGCTTTCAGACATGCTTTATCACATACATACAATAGTCCAACTTAGTGAACAATGCAGGTGTGGTTTTATGCACATATAACAGTCAAATATACTATACTTGTTTGTTTTAGATTTATCAAAGGCACAGTGTGAAACTATGAAAGCCTTAGCTTATGTCAGAGGTAATTGTTGTAGCACAAACTTTTACGGAAGAATTGTGGAACAGGAGAAAGTCCATTTTTCTCTACTTGAACTATTAGCTATAGGTTTATGGTAGTGGTCTAGTCTGGTCTGGTCACAGTGTTCCAGTGAAGCTCTTTATCAGTGTGAGACAAGGCCCGGGTCACGTGATGGTTTTATGGTCACACTATTGTGGGATGAATTCATTGTTTGTGCGAGGTGCGTGCTCTTTCTCTGCCTCTCTCCTGTGTGCGGCTCTGTGTGTGCTGCTGTGCTCTCTTTGTTCTGCTTTTAGCTCGATGTGAACTTGGGATAAGCCGCGGGGCCGATCTCCGGCGCAGATCCAGATCACAGGTCTGATTGGAGTTGTTATCAGGCCGGAGCAGGCAGGGGCCCAGGCTGCACAGCAATAACAACAGCAGCGTGGGGCCGCACCCTGGCAATCAGTTCCAGGCCTAATGGGATTAATGTTGTTGTATAATTAGATGATAGGTGTGAATGCATTTCTTTTCTCCCTCTCACACTCTCTCTGCAGCCCCTCCCTCCACTCTGGGCTCTCTCCTCCCTAACAAGCATTGTCATTGATAAATTTTAATTAAAATTAATACCACGTATTACTCATTGCAGATGCAGCAAGAGATACGGCAGACATGTAGGGGAAATTTGAGTGTTCATCGATGATTATCAGTTGGATTTTTTCTTTTGCTTTTTCAAATCTTGGTTTTCTATTAGAGTAGAGCAGGAGGAAAGAGCCACATCAGCGGAATGACTTGCACTGGGCAGATTCCACTGACAGATATCAGGAGAAACAGATGGTGAAAGATTGGATATCAAATGCATATCAGAGAACTTCATATGTGAGAAGAGCTGCATAAAACTGCAGTTTTCTCACACATTTATAGTCAAGAGTTGGTTGGTGTGAAGTCAAGACATGCACAAGCTGAACACCTGCCCTATAGCTGTTAAAGGAAAGCTGAGCAGCTAAATGTATTGGAGCAACATTCCCTGTCATGCTGCAACAATGGCAGTTTCTGAATATCATATAGTAACACAATATTACTATAGCAAGTAACAGTATATAGGCACTTCAAGGAAAATACTGGCTTGATATGGTCAGCACTTGGCCTCTTCAGTTTTATTGTTGGTTTCTTTTTACAAACACAGTTAGCACATTAACATCTTTGCCACATGTTACAGCAGTTAGCAATACAGCTTGTCATTGGGGACTACAGCTACATGCCACTTTCCGTATGTGGACATGCTTAC